TAAATGTGGTAAAGTCTGTGTTTAGTAAATTGTTTTAAGAGGATGTGATCACAAAATGACAAGGCTTGTATCTATTACTGCCTATAATATGCTATGTAATTATCACTGCCTATAATAAGCTATGTGATTATCACTGCCTATAATAAAGTATGTATATCACTGCCTGTAATAAGGTATATGCCTTAAACACGGCTGCCTACATCACAATGAACGTACGTGGAGATAGATCCATATAAATATCTCTGAACGCATATTAAGAGTGACGGTATACAAACGAACACATATGAGTAATATATAACTGGAAAGATGTGACTAGCCACGTATGAAGGAATGTCTATGAATTCGGCAACATTAATCCGTGAGAGTATGCACCAGTGAATGCATAGCCCTGAGAATATATTTTTTGTAAGAATCATTCACAGATAATGGATCTACAGCAATGAAAAGACTGTGAAGGGAACAGGAATCCGGATAAGTGGAGCGTGACAATGCATTCATGCTTCCTGTCAACACGTCGCTCATTCTTGAGTGCCTACACAAAGTGACTTTGAAATGGTGATGAGAATGAGGGGCACCTCCATGTGGGATCCACCTGGTCTGTAGTGAACGCCAGCCTGGTGACCGGGCTACTATATATACACGTGACCAAGGGGCGTAAGGTGGTATGCTTCCCACCATCTCACCCCTCCCTCGCCCCAATCTCAAAATACAACAGTTACCCCCTCTACCACCTCCTGCATCTTGGCTCCCATGACAAGCCACCACCACAACTACCTTTACCACTATTCCTGATAAGTTCCTAAGTGCTACCACATGCAGCCACCACTCACTTCAACACTATCTTTAAACTTGTTACACTTTACAATCCTACCACCACTAGCCCCACTTGCTTTGAACTGCTATTATATCACTGCATCGATACAAATTACGTCTACCGTCCTACCTCCAATACACTGGTCTTTGTTCCTACTATTTCTAGAACACTACAATTTTCGCAATAACTCTATCCTCACATCTACAGAACTACTATCACTACACATCACTGTTCTATTCTCGCTCCTCAAGGAAGGTTTCTTGACACTGATGAGGGACTCTTGATCCAAGGAACTGGACCTACCCTCCACTTTACTGGATCGAACCTGAGACTCCCGCATTCACAGGCCCTGTATGACCCATACGGCTTTTGCGCTCCTCATGAATATAATACTAATATTCAATTCTCACTGTTTCTGCGTAATCACAATCCCCTTATTCAATTACCTTTGCGGGGCAGCTACTGAATTCCCACTACTTCTACAGAGCAACCATTGCCACCACTCACTACCTCTACAAAACAAGCACTACCACGAAACTGCCCAAATTCCTTTTACCTACAGAACCTAGCATTACTCATTTCACTGCTCGCTTCCACAGTGCTGCTGCTGCTGCACCACTATGCTCTATTCCCTACGCTACAGCATATTACATCGATACGTTTCTCTATACGAATTTTCCCAAGAACATAAGACTTCAGGAGCCCTATCGACCCAGAGTACCTTGGTCCTACTCACATTTATTCCCATACTTATAACTGAGAAGCCTTGTATAGCATAACAGTTCTTTCAAGTAAGTTATCTATACCTCGTGCTTCATTAATTGAATTATCGTATTCTCCATTACACTGTAATGTTTCCACTCTACCACTACTTCCATCACTACTATAAAGCTACTCTTATCAGTAATGGTAGTATCATGACAACACTTCTCAGGTTGTAAAAGACATTGATCTACGTCCTATGAAATATATGCCTCAATTATATTTAGTAATCACCAATATTCAGAATGGTCAAAGCCCGGAGCGCGATAAACGGACGGAGGATCGAAGTTCCATCACACCATGTTTTGAATGACCAATATGAGTTTACCAATCATGAAATTTACTACACTATATAGCCTATAGCTATATAGTGCCACATTAACTTTAAATCATCCATTTCAACCCATATTCAGTTAATCTCAAATAACGAATTCTAAGAAGCATCTAAACTAGCAGCATTATCAAGTCCTAACATGGAAATCTGGACTATTAGCATCAATACCAGTGCCTCGGAAGTGAAAATGTCCACACGTAAGACTTGTCATTTCCTAACATGGCACGTCTTCCATGTTGATTCGTCACTGCATGCGGCACTCTGGCACTCCTGACTCACCACCACCACGTCACTGAAGGCGCCAGGAATGGCTATGATCCTGTACTTCACATGTTGCACTAATTAGCATCCATCACAATCTTCCTCGTCACTTTTTAAACTTTTCAAATATAATTTTTAATCATGGCTGAATAATTTTTATTTTCCTACTTAAAGCTATAAAATGCAATTTTTATATGTAAACGCTTGGAATGTACCTAACAAGGTGAGTGAACATAGAAGTGAGTGGATATTGGTAGTGTAAGAGTGAAGCAGCAGCCTAGCCACCCACTGTACAAGGCAAGAGTCGGTAGGGGAGACTAAACCGTCTGACCCACGCTAAAATTAGACCCCTTCCCCAAGCCCCCTCTCCGCTATCTCTTCAGTCGTTCTCGTAAGGGACTCGAGCCCATATGGTACCTCCTGTTAAAGGATGTTTCCTTTGGTGTGTGAACAGATAGGCTCAATGGTTATGGCACCTCCAACCCTCTCATCCATTAGCAGGCAGAGCTGCAAGTGACGCAGTTATTTTTTGTGGTGTCGTGTATGTTGTATTAATCTTTTCACCAGTGCTGACATCTGTGTTGTGTGTTATCAGTAATCGTGTCAAACGTCGTGTAAATATTTTATTTTGTCTTGCAGAAAACACATAATAAATGATAACCACAGATTTTTTTATTACCATTAATAATTAAAAATGTTATACATACTGTTTTTGTTCTGTTGTATATAAATCACCATTAAGAGCCCCTCTGGTAGTTGGCCTTGATGCTTGCATTAGATTAAAGTATAACTTAAAGAGTATTAGATATACCTTCTCATCACTGTGACATACTAATAATTGTTATGCCTTCTTGGCTCTATTTCTTAAAACTTCCCACGTTTGTTTTCTCAATCGCCAGTGAGTCACTGATGTTTAGTAAAGATCTGTACCTTCTCAAAAAATCTTACTCTAAGTTTTACTAGTTATATATAAGCTTGTGCTTGTGCCATATCAAGACCTGTTTTATAAGTACTAATTTTTATAGTAAGACATCGTAAACAACGTTTAGTGCGTTCGCTTCATCGTAGCTCCAGCTGTATCAATGAAATGGTTTGCATTAGCTATATTTCTGGCTCCTTCACTACCCCCTGGCAGCAAATAACAATAGCCACCTCGGTTCTGAGGCCGTGGGGAGGCCAAATGCCCAATAATATGCCAGTAATAATAAACTACCACTACCACCAGGACAGTAATAATAAACTACCACTACCACCAGGACAGAAGTGATCCCTTGCAGAAGAAGACTACATGGTGCAAGGTTATTTGTCAGACTACTGGTGATATAAGTGATGTGTTGACCAGCACCGCCACCGATACACACTTTTAAATTTATAGGAAGAAAACTAGCGTTAAACCGAGGCATCTAACACATTTTCCTTATTTTCCATAATATGTTACTGTCAATCAAGTAAATATTGAAAGTCAATGGATCAACAGGAAAATAGGTTAAAATGCCTTTAGTTTTATGGCAAGCATGGAAAGGTAAACTGGGATATTTTATCACTGATCATTTTATTTATGTTTCCCAAGTTTTGTACATTATTAGATTTTTTTTATCATGCTGAGGAAACAGTACAGATGTAATGGCAACAGCCAGTCATGCATCCCTTCACCTCTTAGTTATTATACATAAGGTTTGAAGTTCCAAACCTCAAAGAAATATATTCAACATTTTCAGTCTGAGCACAGTCTAAACTTCCTCTGGACAGTGTCACAAATATAAAAATATCTTACTCAAATGAGCAAATATACAAGAGAAAACTCTCGTCAGTTCATATATGAGCAGGCATGTTTTAAACACTGAGAAATAAATTCTGGAATTAAGCATACAAAAATAACAGAATTATTTGCTAAAATGCTTAATACTAAAGCCCAATTAAACAGTCCAAGGAAAGTCTATAATGTAAATATTCAGTGTATAGACAAGAAATACAGCAAACATATTAGCCTATAACGAAAAGCACCAACATAAAAAAGAGGTCAACTGGTACTTGTCAATAAATATATATTTATGATTTGACAACCATTTCCTAGAATTCAAATGTATACTTCACTAGAAGGATACGGTGTTCAAGTTAAATTCCTTGGTGATGTACATAAGAGAAATCCTGGACTTTAGCGCCATAAGATGTAAGATACAGAGCAGCAGCATAATAAAATCATAGCTTTCTCTTATGTTTAACTAGGAATAACTTTAGCATTTTATTTATAACTAATCACATTGTATTTTATCATGCACACTATCTTTCGTTTTATTAGCTTTTCCTGTATCAATTAACAAAAACATTAAGGGAAAATATCATGTGGCAAATGCTGACAAATTAGATTTCAAATACAGATGAAATCGTATTACCGGCATTCTCCAATTCTAATTTCTTGTGCCAAATGGGGATGCCATATAAGCTCTAGTCTCCGCATCAATGAGGGCTGCTAGGGCCGCCAGGGAAGTCAAAACACAAAGGGAACCAAAATGTGTCAGCGTAGTGTGGGGGTAGGCTGGAAGAACCGGCACACTACCGGTCGAGGGGACCTTCTGTACTACTGTATTATCACACATGGTTGCCGCCTAACACTAACATAAAATGCCCATACATACTGGTTTTTTCACAGCTCGCTGTAAACCTCATGCAATACATTGAAAAATTCTCATGTTTAAAACTAGCTTACAAGACAAAAGTGAATCCTTACAATCTACAAGAGAATGAGCGAGCAACCATATGGACAATTATCCCCACACTGCACCAAGAGGGAACGAGGCATCCCTAAAGAACGGTCTTAGGCGTTCTTACTTTTAACCGTGAGCATGGTGGAGGTCTCGGCCTGGCCGGCACTGTTGGTGGCCCTACAGGTGAAGGTGCCAGTATCCTCCGGGTAGGTCTCCTTGATATCCAGAACGGCCGTGTTACCCTCCATGAACATCTGGAAGGAATATTAAACAAAACAGTCACAATCATATTCTCAAATTTTTATTTGCAAGCACGTGATAATAATAATAAAACATGGATACTCAAGAGAAAAAAAAAATGCAAAAGCCACATGTATGCTACATTTTTTTTTAGTTAATTGACTGTGCCTGGCAACTTGCGTAATTATAAGGCAAGCCATTTTCTATTTCACGTGAGCGGTGTGGTGTTGTGGCCATGACATCAGCGCGCACGTCTTCACCCGCCCTGCTACAACTTTCGTAGAATAGGCATATAGACCTACTCCGGTGTTCAATCTTATGCTTTTATGTACTTTCAAGATATATTCAGTGATGTGTATCCCTGGAAGTACTGTATATTTAAGAGCATAAGAACATAAGAAAGAAGGAACACTGCAACAGGCCTACTGACCCATGCGGAGCAGGTCCATGTCCCCCACCCCTGGATTAGACCAATGACCCACCCCCCGGATTATCCCAATGACCCACCCAGTCTGGTCATCCCCACTCAAGGATGGAGCACTGTACCAGACCCAGCAACACAAGCTAGTCAGGTCCAACTCACACCCACCCACACCCACTCATGTATTTATCTAACCTATTTTTAAAACTACACAACGTTTTAGCCTCAATAACTGTACTCGGGAGCTTGTTCCACTCATCCACAACTCTATTACCAAACCAGTACTTTCCTATATCCTTCCTGAATCTGAATTTTTCCAACTTGAAACCATTACTGCGAGTCTTGTCTTGGCTGGAAATTTTCAGCACACTATTTACATCCCCTTTATTTATTCCTGTTTTCCATTTATACACCTTGATCATATCCCCCCAATTCTACGCCTTTCGAGAGAGTGCAGATTCAGGGCCTTCAGTCTATCCTCATAGGGAAGATTCCTGATACATGGGATCATCTTTGTCATCCTCCTTTGTACGTTTTCCAGAGCATTTATATCCATTCTGTAATACGGTGACCAGAACTGAGCAGCATAGTCTAAATGAGGCCTAACCAAGGATATATAGAGTTGAAGAACAACCTGAGGACTTCTATTATTTATACTTCTAGATATGAAGCCAAGAATTCTGTTAGCTTTATTGCGAACACTAATGCACTGTTGTCTTGGTTTTAGGTTACTGCTAACCAGAACTCCTAAATCCTTTTCGCAATCGGTAGTATTAAGATCTACATTATTTAGAAGTTTGGGTTATCATCTGATTATATATTTCTTTCTAAGGAACATTATGTAATTAACGTGCAAACTATAAATTTGTTGAATATAGAGCGTAAATATATAAAAGAAACAAAAAATTCACATTATCTCACAAAAATGTATTGAATGCTGTATTTTAAAATACATTTTACAAACATTTGGTTAACGATTATATTTTTTTTCGACATAGATTATGTAGCAGCAGTGTACGAATAAACTTCAGAGACAATTTGTTACAAAGGGTCTCCCAAATTAACAATAAAAAATTGAAGAAACTTTAATACTAGGCCGATTAAACAATATATTTTTTCTAAGGCAACACAAATATACAGGTGGCAGAGTTCTAGTTTTATATTTTTTCAAAGAAAATCAGTATTGTTGCTTACCATAATACAAGTACGTACTTTGTACACGTCTGACAGGTTGCTTGCAACTATGCCACCAGAAACAGAAACAGCTTTCGCGGATGAAACAAAATTTTATACTGTGGTTCCTGGCACTGAGTACTGCTAAATAATCACTAAATCTTATTACCCTCTATTAAGCAGCAAGAATGATGGCAGAAGTGCTTGGTCACCCAAGATGACTCCAAGACCCAAATTACAAATATGGTCAGTCATGGCGTTAATCTTTTAATCCTTAACTTGTATTATTATTGAGCGTTAACAGTAGCCTATACAGTTAACCTGTTGATTCTAGTGATAATCTAATTATATATCATCCACTGTTATATGAAAAATCAAAGCTATTAATATGGCATGTATGTAAGGATCGTAAAGGGATATCGACTGCGGTTAGTAATACATCAACTATTGGTAGATGTTACATTACGGGCGCTGTATAGTCCTTGTGGCTTAGCGCTTCTTTTTTGATTATAATAATAATAATAATTACATTACGGGCCATGTATTTAAATGACTAAAGCTATATCTGGTTACTAATAATACTACCAGAAGCATTGTGAATTGTGGTTACTAACGATTCTTTCACTGTCAGATATAAAGTTTATTTTACCATTGCTTACTCAAATTATTATAAATCTTATATAATATAATGTTATTATAAATCGTATTATATTTAAAAAGCTTTATGGTCCATCGTGTCACATAACGAAGCTTAAACAAATTAACATAACCAAATTCCCACTTTCACGGAGCTGCGTGGCTACTGGCAGTATTATTATTTTTTGCACGTAGAATTGAGCAACATTTTTTTAAAGCAACGCAGGAATATCCTGAACAATAAATCCGATTATCTATTAAGAATTTAATTGAAATTAGAGAATTTTTCCGTACGTCGAAACATGTCTGCCAGTTACCTGAAATAATACTTATTTTAAAGTTTCAACAACAACCTGAGATAATAAGATTTTTTTTTTTTTGGCATGGCCTTCGGCCTTCTATCTCTCTGGCAGGTACTGGGTGCTCAGAGATTAAGGTGACACAACACCTTGGAATTACTGCATTGCTACTGTGGTTGTTGGCACTGTAAACTGTACTTCAAAGTGAAAGCATGCGTGCAGTCACATTTAAATTCAGAAGTGCCAGGTAAATAACTCCATCTTCTATACAACAAGGTTACACGGAAGTTACAAACCATAATGAGAGTAGAGGATGCAGGTAAGTTATAACAAAGCCATCTCGTAATTTAAAGAGAAAACTTTGCTGCAAAAACGTTTCTTTCACAAATACATTTTTGTAAAAGTTGCATGACTATAAGTGAAAACCAGACCTTGCATTATTTTTCACACTTAGTTACGTTGAATGACAAAACTCTTCAAACAAATTACCACTGAACGAGTACAGCATACTTTAGCATATTATGGAAATTATACGCTAAAGCTCTAAATCCCACCAAAAGTAAGTTTGTTGGATTTTAGGCCTATTGGGTAATTCGTATTCATTACAGCCGCAATCTACTAACCAAAATAGATAATCAAATTCCTAAAATATGGAATAAAGTAAACTAGATGTATATTTACTTATATACACCATGGTATATCATACCCTTGATTCCTTTAGTTTATTGTCTGAGGCCTACAGACTTCACGATATCATTATGATTGAAAGTCAGCTGTACACTAACATCAAGAATAATTAATCAACAAAATAGGATTAAAACTATGATTGTGTATACAGTACTTAGAGGAATGAACACATATCGACTTCACTTGGGTCACTGAGGTCGTAATTCTTTTAATATTAATATGAAGTATAGTCCCTATGTACACAGATATATATTTCGTACATATTACACTGTGACTCAGACTGAACGCGCTCTTATATGAGAACAGAGTACTCAGGGGAGGTGCCAACTGCGCAGCACACTGACCAACAGCCACATGTAATTATAAATTGTCTTTCTCAAGACACCTGCGCTTGCTGATGAGGATGGTGTCACTCGCAATCTGCTGACAGGTCTACGTCTGTTCTGTCACTTAATAATAACAGGATTGTGTTTCTTGTTATTGACATCTACGTTGGCCCTACATGGATTACTGTACAAATGCATTATTATATAAATAATATTGTATTCCTTTCATGTGTAAAAATATTTAAATATTTTTTAATATACAACTGTATCTGTGTCAAGAAATAAACACTATAATAAATGTACTGTACATATAAAATCTGTTTTCTCTAATCATATGTACTGGCAAGTGAAGTGCCTCCTTGGGATGTTTGGACAGCACCCGCTTGTCAATTGCTTCCTCGTACACTCATACGTCATAAGATAGCCTGTCATGCCGCTAATGGCGCAGTATGTTATGTAGTCACTTTGTAAGCTATCACTGTGACTGTTTCCAAATTTTCAAGATACAAAGTTAAAGTTACTAACATTTACGTCCTATTCAAAGCAGGAAACAAAATTACTTTCATTATCGATTTTTTTAACTAACTTACTGACCATTATAGACTAAGGCAAGGTGAGACAAAAACAGACTACCCATTCACAGATAACATAATCTAATGATGGCCCACCGGGTTACATCAACCCAGCTCATGAATCCCTTCATATATATTTCCTTGATAACATTAATATCAAGTCCAATACCAAAAGCCACTTGCATCCACTCACCGATCTAAGACGCTCACACTTGCCTGCTGAATGTCATGTCTTTTAATATTTTATTCACACCCTCCTTCTAACTCTTCCTCGGACGTCCCCAACATTATTTATCCACCCTAGATATAAACACCCTTTGTATCAATCTATCATGCTCAATCGCTTTTACATGAGCAGGCTGTATTCTCACCTCCTCTTCATCTCCTTTCATTTATAAGTTTAGCATCACAATGTCTTCTAATTTCTTAACCCTTATTTTTTGTATAATATTCACACAATACTCTCAGAAACGATACTTTAACTTCTTCCATCTTCTTGCTGTGAAATTCAAAGATCATGCTTAAAACACATACTGAGGCTTTGGTACCACTCTGATACATTTATTTGCTTCAATTAGCAATCCTCTTTCCACAGACTCCTTAATACTTCTGCTTTCTTTCCCTCATCCTTTCAGCAAGTCAACGCATCTTTCACTGACAAATCTGCCGACACTTTCGCTCGCAAATGTCTAAATATATTCATTCACGTCCTCCATATTCTTTCCTTGACATAATATCTGTTAATCGTTAGGTATCATCCCTCTTTTACATACGTTAAACAAGTGCAACAATCATTCCAAATAGTAAAAGCCTGGTATATAATACAGAGAGATTGTGGTTAAGCATGTTATAGCCACATGTTCATGTGTCTAACGAATCCTTCAAAAACTATATTTGTTTCCTGCATCTCCGACTGAATCCTATCCATCCCTATTTCTTTACCTTCCTTTCAGTTTACATACAATGTGTCACTCGAATAATCTCCCCACCAGAGTGTCCACCTGAAGAATTTCCACCTCTGTCTGCCCCACCTGAAGAACCTCCATCGAGCTTGAAAGCTTGTTACCACAACTAACTTAACCAAGTCTAGGAAAATCAAAACTAACCTCACCAAATTTAACCTAAACTAATCTAGTAGGTTATGATAGGTTATGGTGAAGAATTTTCACCCAATAGTACTTGGGGAAGAGATCCTTCTGGTTACTCCTTACAGATTCACCCACTTTTTCCATACTTCCGGCTCTTTCCCTCGTAAATTAATCATATTACTCCCTAAGCAATACATGAAATCTATTCTGAGCTATTTTTTTTAATCAACTCTTATTACTTTCCTAAGCAGCGTGTGGTTATGGTCTTGGCTGAGAGGTTGTGATTTAGGTTATGTATTCTGTAATTGCATTTATATATGGCAAGTATATTTCTACTGTTGATGAATCTAAATAACACTCTTGAGTCTTAAGGCAACTTTGTTGCCATTTTAGCTATGCTGTTTACGTATGTTCCAACTTAGTACATAAACCTTAAATTTTAGCTAGGAGCGACGCAGCTCTGAACTCTCCCTTTGGCATTCACCTAATTCTGTCCTAGATAGTTACTCGTAAATACGCACTACTTATTGAAAATTTTGAGGCATTTTTAATTACTTTCGATAAATCCTTGTGAAATACGTACATACGCTGAAACTACTATCACTAAGTACTGTTATCTTCCTTGAAGTTATTATTTTGGTTAATTATAATCAGCGAGAAGCGGTGAACCCGTACGGATATACCAACTCATGAGAAGTGAGGTAATTGGGTTTGATCCAAGAGCCTTTCACCGGCATTTCTACTTTGAAAAAGTGCATCGATGTACATGTTCGCAATATTCTTTCTCTTGAGAACCATATTTTCATCAGAGATCATATTTTAATCTGCTATACGTTTTAAAGTTAAATTCTTTATGAATATTTAAGACACCACTGAAACCTATTGATGTTTTCAAGTCATGATTTATTTATTATTTAAAAAAATGCGCTAAACTCGTAGGGTTATACAGTTTCACGTTATGAAAAGTACTGACCTCGAAGTCCCGGGACTGTGGGATGAGTGCTCCTTCACGGTACCACTGGACTCCAGGTATAGGTTTACCCACCACCACCGTGTTGAAGCGAACTCCCTGGCCCTCCAGCACTGTTACAGGCTCAAGAGGTGCCACAGAGGGTGCCACTTCCGCCTGCTTAGGCTGAACTACTTGCAGCTTCGCCTCCACAGTGCACTGAGGGCACAGTAAATAATTGTTATCTCTCAATCGTTGTTTACACCTGTAGAACTTCACTTTTTTAAAATATACCATATTATACTTGAAATTTCAAAGGTAACCAGCGATTTAAATACTTCATATTTTGCAGGAAAGAGAACTGTGTCTAGAATTTGATTAGTTACCTTTCCAGACGGGTTAGTGGCAACGCAGAAGTAGGTTCCTTCGTCCTCGGGGAAGGCCTCTGAGATGCGGAGGCAGTAGCGATCACCATCAGCTGTCATGGTGAAGTATTTACTCTGCTTGATTGGCGCTTTGCCCTTCATCCACTGAATCTTAGGTTCTACAGGTGGAGAAATAAGTTTGAAAAAGATTAAAAATTTAGTATTATAACATAAAATTATAAATGGATTAATTAAATTAATCTCGTTAGGCGAATCACAAATATAATGTAATGATATATTTAATAACAATTTATTTTTCTTACTAGGTGAAGCGGTGATGACACACTCGAAGAGTGTGCCTTGTCCTTCCTGTACAATCTGCGATTTTAGTTTTTGTACAATTTTAGGAGCTTGAGGAACACCGGCGGGTGCGGCAGGGCCCTGGGTGGGGCGAGGACCAGCTACCTCCACTGTGGCTTGGCAGCGGGCTTCACCGGCCTTGTTGATAGCAACACATTCATACGAAGCGCTGTCTTCAGGCACCGCCTCGATGATCAGCAGTGTGTATGTATCATCCTCAGCTAACATCTTGTAATGCATGTCCTGGGTAAGTTTAGTGCCATTCTTCAACCAGTATGTGTCGATGGGTGGTGTACCGTGGATCCTTGCATCGAGTCGAACTAGGCTTCCTGGCATACCTATCGTGTCCTGTATGGTCTGAGAGAAACTGGGTGGAACTACTCCTCCACGGCTCTGTTTACGTTCTGCAACCACTAAGTTAGCAGAGCACTTGGCTCGTCCTCCGCGATTCTCGGCCACGCAGGCAAACAGTCCTGAATCTTCCAGGAATACTTCACGGATTACCAGGATGCTCTTGTCACCAAACGTATGAATTTGGAAATCTGGAGAGCTAGTGATGAGGAAGTCTTCTCGATACCACTGAACTGTGGGCATGGGGTCACCATCAAACTCGACCTGGAAGCGAGCTGGCTCTCTCTCAAAGGCTCGGCAAGGCTGAATCTTTTTGGTGAAGAATGGAGGCTTAGCTGGCTTCTGAGGCGGACCTTGGACCAAACGCTCGGTAGTTTTGCCTGTATGCTCCATCTCCGTTTTTTCTGTGGCTGTAATTTTGCGGTGAATTTCTAAATCTCCCTGGATCTCCTTCTGCGTCTGTTTTTGTGTGGATGTATGAATCTGAAGCAAAGAAAACTCCTCTTTTATAATTCACTCCCAATTTAGGAAAATGTAATACACATAAAGCAGTCAAATATTGACTGATTAAAAAAATGTATGCCGTATATCCAGGTTATATAATGGAGGCAAGCTGTCAACTGCTTGCTACTCACTTCTTTGCCATGGACGACGGATTCAGAAGGCTCTGCCTCCCGCTGCAGCAAGGTTGCTTCATCATGACGTACTTCCTTGGTGTCCCTAAGAATACAAAACAAGTTTAATCAGATTTGCAAGCTTCCTATTTGTAATTAACTATTTATAGCTACATGATCAGACCTATACCCGCAGCGTCCCACCTTCAGTATTAATCACACAATGTGGTAATTTTAATCCATGTCGCTTATGTTACATTTCTTAGGTTTTATTATATGTGGATCTGATTTAAAAAAAAATGTATGGGTGAAGCCAAATTGAAAGATTTCACAGAATGATAAGTATGTCAGCAGAAGCTGGTTTTGGACTGCTAAAATAGCACTGATAACAGTTAAGCTCACAGCTCAAAAAAAAAAAAAATCACAAAGAAGACTCGTAAATGAAAAAGAACATTTTAAACGAGGCAAATCAATGGCAATAACATTATTAAATTCATGGGAAAGCACTTATGGAATGCGAAGCAATCAGGTTCGATTCGTGGAAGGGGAGAGTAGCTCCAATTCCTTGGATCAAAACCCCTTCAACAGCTTCAAGACATCTTTGAAGGAAATGGTTACCGTAGAATGGACTTCAATTTTACACCGTTGAAATTACATTAAAACCAAATCTGTCCTCTTGAGCAATAAAAGAGCCTTTGTTGATAAACTAACTTAAAGATTTTTAAACTTTCTTCCCTAGTTTTTCGCTCCAGAGAAAATAATCCCACAAAGATATAACGTCAACACAACAACAGATATATTACGTACACGCCAGACTGTCGCAGATCTGGTTCGTTTGGGACATACACCATTCAAAATTTAGTCGTAATATATTATCAACTCACTTTCATTGTTAATATGTTAACCTCAAAAATAATTGTTAAATCCAGAAATACACATCATTAAATTAAGTTTTAAAATAAAAGGATAGTCATGGCTCGGCTGTTAACCAATTTAAATTTCTTACGTTACTGAATGATAAAGAGCAATTATCTCACACTGGTAAATATGTACAGCTTAATATGACAGGCGAGTTGTGATGAGTTTACCGTCGTGAGTACACTGCATACATACTCTTGTGCCAGTGATGCAATACACAATCACTGGTTTTGATCGCAATTTACTTATCTGCACAAGATTAAAATAATAAATTTAAAATAATAGGAATCTACGGAGGAGTATATTTATCATACAACGTTTATTAGTGGTTTTGTGTATGTTACTGTCATATAAACTTCACTTACCACTCCGAAATCTAAAAGTAAATAACACAAATAAGAATCGCACATTGTTAATAAATGCATAAATCTAATTCGTTAGACAACGCAGCCATCGTTCTTTTAGGAAATGAAAAGAAACAGCAGAAGCGAAAACATAGTTTAAAAATCATGTGAAAAATATCTAAAAGTTATCAATTAGAATAAACCGATGAAAATCATCCATAGAAAGCAAAAGAAATACACACATATATATATACAAAGTTAAAGAAGCAGATGGAACAGAGTAAGTGTACAGAGGTTAACTCAAGAAGAAATATATATGGGTGTGATACCTTAAGATCCGCTTAGGCGGCTTATGTACGGTGGGCTGCTGTGAGTCAGCAGCCTCACTGTCGCTGTTGGGAACCCAATAACCGGTCAGAATGTTCATTATTTCTAAGCTTACCAGGTGCAACGCTTAACTACGTTAGTTCTTGATTCATATGTTATAGCTCTAAAGCCAAATTAATCAACGAAATGCGATTATCAATGAAAGATAACTAAGAGACAGAAAAGAATGAAAACTGTGTGCTATCAAAATAATTTTCCGGAAGAGAGAAGAGTACTACACTACTAAATGTTTAAGAAAATTTAGGAATTTACCAAGGTTACAGGAAAATGAAAGAAAGGTTTGCATTTTGTACAGAGTTTTGCATAGGAAGAGTCTGTGAACGTGGAAATATATTCTGGAAGTCCCTAGCAGTGTTCTTGAAAAAGATCTCCGAGTACTTACAGCTGTTCTTCATATCGAGAGGCCATGCCCCGAGCGAGGGAGTGTTGAGCTGCATGTTCTGCGGGCGAGGCGAACATATGCACATCTCTGCTGCGTGTCTTTATTCTCTGCGTGTCCTCAAGCTGGCGCAGAAATATTTAAAAATTTATTATATACAATGCTTGTCTTTGCCTATCTATTAATCACTGTTTTATTCATAAGTTATAAATTGTTACATACGTGCCTCTATACCTATTTACATCAATTATTGTATATATACATGATATGTACGTATTAATAAATTAGCGATATCTGTATACTAATCTATAACTAAAGTTTACCATTTATTTCGATTTCAAAATGATGTTAAAGGCGAATTATGTTTTCAGAGGACAATAAATATCTTGAACAAATCGCATAAAAATGAGAAAATTCTTAAGTACGAGGTTTATGAATACCGCAAAAATTGAAAAATAAAAATAATTATTTTAAAGTAGCCTATTGGTACTATATAGTCGCCTATTTGTACTAAAGAAAATTATTTAAAATGACATAAAATTATAATTTTCCTCGTTAGGTTACGAAACGTTACCTGATCAATAGGGAAAGCATGGAACCCGTAGGGTTCCTACAGCGCCTAGGGAAATCTGAGGTTATCACCTTCGATCCAAGGAAGGGGAGGTCAGGTTCAATCCCCTGGATCAAGAGCTCCTCACCAGTGTCAGGGAACTATTCTCGAGGGATTGACCAAGAGCTACAAAATAATACCAATAATAAAGATAGGGCCGAGAATTCTATCTACCTGTTTTATCTTCTCTCCAGCGTTCTTCTGCCTGGCCAGCTTCTGCCACTCAGTTTCCTCAGTCTTATCAAGTGGTTTGGCCATGTACTCTCCAAATTTAGATTCATGTAAAATCGAGTAGTCAGAGTCGATCTTCTCCTCGAAGACACGGTCGAGTTCGGTCTCCTGACGTTCCTTCTGGTAACTCTTGAGGTCATAGTCATACCAAGCTACAAAAACAATAATTGTTAGGCCCAACCCTCCCGCCAGCACGGTAGGGCGCATGCTCAAGCCACCACCGAACTCTGGCTACCAGGACAACTAACGGGATATTATACAGGAATACAACCAGGATAACTGGTGATTCTAACAAGTGACTGAAGGAACTAAGGGAAAATTAACTGATCTAAAGGTGGCAAGTGCAGCACACAGGTAAACAAAAGGTGGCAATAGTTCATTAACAGGTCATGGCAAAGTGTCAAGTTGATATATAAGTGGACTGGGAATATATTACAAGAGGAATAATGTACTCAGGAACACTGTTGTTTCATTGATTGTGATAAAATCTGAGAAGAAAAATTCATGTGGAATTACATGATTATGTACCGTATTTATAAACATGCAATGGGTATGTTGTGTCTAATAAGCAAAGTTGGTCAAACAAGCCGCACTGCTTAAAAAAATAAAAAAAAATATGTTATGCATTGGTAAGTCCGTATAATGCAGATTTAATTGTAAACCAAAGCTAACTTTGCAACCTAACCTTGCTAAAAGTAGCAAAATATAATAAAATTTAGCTTAATGCTAATCAGAACATCTTTGGGTAGCCTAAACTTACTATTATCTAACGACAATGAAAACGATTAATTTCGTGATGGACAGTTATTGCAACAATGAATTTAGTCTCGACTTGTTTGGCAAATCAATGCTTGCTGAATATACCAAGTCGGCAAGTTCAGCTTGAAACGCACAACAGGTATAAACATTAACATACTGAAGTGTAATGTAGAAAAATACTTACACAGCGTCAGCTCTATGATGTTAGAGCAGCTCGGGCAGGAATTAGAGGCTTTGTACAGATGGGGGTTTACTGGTAAGTCTAGTAGGGTTATAGAGTTAGGGTACTGGTAAATCTAGCAGGATTAGATGCACGGGTGGGGCGGACGGAACTAAAATCAGTGGATAACTAAATCATGACCAACCAAATCTTAAACAAAGAGGAGCAACGACTCACAAACAACATGCCTCAGCGCTTACCTTCTTTAACTTACCAAATAATAATACCGCGGAGTAAAATTAAAAAAAAAAAACTTGTTGGGAAAAATGAAAATTAGTTAATTTAAAAGTGGCGTATTGGTAGCAGAGTTGTCGCTTAATATAGCGGTGTTACAGTAAGTTGGTGAGTGTAGCGTTGGTGTTAGCGTTGGTGTTAGCTGTGAGTGTGAGGTGTGAGTGGCTGCCCAGCGTCCACTCACCATCACTAGCACCAGTGTGACACGCAAGTCAGGACCATCTGGGCGAGTTAGCGCCAGTCCGCTCAGGTCAGTACTAACATGCGGGTCAACTGTTGCCTTGGATATCAAGTAAAATATGTTCTTTATGGTTAAAAGTAATGGAGCGAAGTGAGAAATAAAGAATGAAAACTAGGCCTCCACTGCTACTAAATTCGTCGTTCAAACGTCCAGATGACCTGAAAAAGACTTTGATGAATATGAAAGTGTTAGTAATCGAAGTGAATGAGCGATGGAAAAAATGAGTTATTAATGAAATGGAAATCTTGGGGAGAGATAGCAGCCTCAAGCAGACAAGGTCACACCAACTGTCATAAACAGCAGGAGAGAGCCTCGAGCACTTGATCTTTATCACCTCCAACCCCCAAGTCTCCTGGTAGCCTAGCAGCGGCGAGGACTTACGTTTGGGCGAGTTCTTGAGGACGGCACGGTAATCGTCTTGTCGTGGGTTCACCTTGAGCTCGCAGGAAGCGTAGCTCTCGCCAAGGGAATTGCGACAAATTACTTCCACTTTACCGTCATCGTACTGACGCGTCTTGGGGATGTCCAAGTGATACATACCGTCGTACCATATCTTGAAGCGGTTGCCCTGTGAGGAATAAACATGCCATCTGTCAATAACACCCTGCTTAAGTCGTAATTATAGTAACTTAATCAGTATGTATATACCGAGGTGTGTACTTCTCAGTTTACGTACATTTAACTGAACACTTTTTTTCTCGATAAAAGTATCCTTCAGGTTAGAGTACAGATTAATCGTAACCTCAATGAGCAGTGGTTTGGTCTTAACACGTAAAAGCTAATTGATTCACAGTGCATACCTTATTGTTTCAGAGCTTAACTTGATTATTTTATTATTATTATCGATCAGTTCCTGTACGCAGAAGTGTGTATCTCTGAAAGTTTACATTAATACCTATTTCAGGGCTTAAAATATTCTTGATATTAATATCTTGGTTGACGGCGGTTTTAATAAACAACTTGCAGTAGATAAGCCTGGAACATATGAACTAAAGTAGCAATGAGGGAACATTAATTTGAAAATGTCTTTGTCTCAATCTATTTTATTAAAAACAATTAAGTGGTGCATCGACGCTTGTTGAGGACCTCTTGATCCAAGGAACTGGATGTAATTTCTCCTCCCTTGAATCGAACCTGAATACTCATTCCATAGAAGCAACATAATCCCTACGGATTCAGAGCTGCCCCGATTAACATACAAATTAAAAATACACTCAAGATCGTTTAAGTGCTTAATAAGTGTTCAGTAGGTACTCACACTCATAGCAGTGGAGCCGTTGACAATCCACATTACTCTGGGTCTTGGATGACCAGAGACGCGGATGCTGAATCTGGCCCAGTCACCTTCCTGAACCACTAGACTCTCTGGCTTCTTCAGTACCTCAGGCTTGGTGCGTGGCTTGTCCTCCTCAACGGCGGTCTCCGGAGCACTGAGGGAGAATACTTGTAATGTCTACACCAATAACTAATGCTAAAAATTATTAGTGTACCAGATTTTTTTTTGGTTTTAAACATATCAATCGTTTTCAATCAAGGGACGGTGACCCATAGAACACATTGATAATTATCAATATTCCCTAGGTGTATTTCCAGAAAAGCCTTTTGATGTAACAAAATTAAGAACCTCTTCTGTTCCTCATTCAAATGTTCAATGCTGTTTTATTAGGAATTGTTATTAAATTATTTCATCAGTTCATATGGCGCTGCTTATATTATTATTATAATCAAAGGGGAAGCGCTAAACCCGGAGGATTATACAGCGCCTGGGGGGGGGGTGGAAGGCATTCAGGCTTAATTCGGGGAACTGGAGCACAGATCCAATTCCCTAAATCAAGAGCCCCTCACCAACATCAAGGAACCTTCCTTGAGGGGGCGCTGCTTATAGCCTGCCTACCTACTGATTTAAATTTTTTTGCATCATTATGTAAAATATAATATTTTGTGCTTTCATTCGTTTTATCGTGTCTCACAGTGCATGTTCACTTTAATGATTGATGTACCCTAACTAATGTCAATAATAATTTAAAATGAACATCTCAAAGTCAGTTCAGTGAGTCTTCTCACATCTCATTTCTGCAGCGTATTTTTGTTTTTTATTCACCTCATTTGTTTTCTTATTTTTTCATTCAGTATTGTACTAGAAACATTATGTACTTTGATTATCCTCTTAAAATAATATTTGTTATCACATAGTACACGAATTTATTTCACGATACACTTGAAAGTAAACTTACATTTGCCAGGAAGCTTCCAGTTCCCTGATCTTTTCGAGGGACTGCATACCCTTAGGAATCTGAGAGTCGTAGATGACACCAGGGCGTCCGGTGGCCTTGAGAGTGGCTCTCGTTTCATCCATGCCCCAGAGGTTGGTTGCTCGGCACAGGTATTCGCCTGAGTCTTCGCCAAATACCCAATTCATAATGAGCGCAACGTAGCCAAAGTCATAAATAGGAGTGAAGCGGTTCTCTGTTTAAAGAAAAGGAAATATGCTTATAGTTAACAAATATTTTGCTTGTAATGTGACTATCTCTTTCAGTGAATTAGGACTCCAGTAACAACAAGCAAGAAGCGCTAGCGAGTCAATTTATATTATTTCCATGAACGATATGATAGGAAGGGTTACTGTAATTGTTCGATATTCGTGAACCTACGCAATTCATGAGAGAGAAAGAGCCAATTCGTATAAAGATGCTTACTGAAAGGCAATGGGCGTCCATTGAAGAACCATTCAACCTTCATGTTTGGATCGCCCACTGGAGCCAGTTGACAATCGAACTTGGTTTCTTCCATTTCCTTCAGATCCTTCACATCCTGAATTTGTGTTACGAAGCGAGGTGGCTGCCTTTTCTCTACGTCGTAAATATCTTCCTGTGTCAGCATCACCTCCTTGCAGTACTTCTTGAGTGTTTCCTCCATCTGGGTAGCAAAGTCCACACCAATCTTCATACCCTTAGGAACCTGCGACTGGAGCACCACTGACTGACTTGCTGTTAATGAAATTATGTTTGTTAAAATTCAGTAAAATAAATTACAGAACATATCAAATAACTATAACTGCTTTATTACCTTCCCACAACAACAAAAAACAAACTAACCTTTAGATTTTAGTGTGGCCCTTGTGAAGTCTTCTCCAAGTTTGTTATAAGCTCGGCAAACGTATTCACCAGAGTCTTCAGGGTAGGTGTGAAGTAGCTCCAGCGTCACGTGACCCATCTCGAAGCTTGTCCTGAAGCGATGACCAGACTGTAGAGGTTTACCATTGAAATACCATTCAACGCGCAGATAAGGATCAGTGCGAGGCTCAACTCGTGCTTCAAAGAACGCACGCTCGCCCTCCTGTAAACTCTGGTTCTTAATTGGAAGAGTAAACTTGGGAGGCATCATTTCTACATCACTTTCAAATTTCTCAGTGAGAGGACCACGTTCAAGTTCCTTCAGCTTTTCAGCAGTCATGCCCTGTGGGAGCTGTGTGCTGAGATCAACGCCATGCTTAAAGCGGACATTGAGCATGGCCTTAGTAGTAGCTTGGCCCCATTTGTTGGTGGCACGACATATATATTCGCCAGTGTCGCGTGCGAATGTCCATTCCAGGTCGAGCACAACAAAACCGAAGTCATCCATCATGTGTACACGTGACCCAGCTGCAAGTGGCATGCCATTGTGGAACCATTCGATGCGCATGGTGGGATCACCCACAGGTTCCACTCTACAGTCAAAGTGAGCGGGCTGACCTTCAACTAAATCGCTGATATCCTCGAGATTGGTGACAAAGCGTGGTGGGCAAGGCTTTTCTTCTTCTTGGGTAACGACCTCCTTCTTGTACATGCTATCTTCTAGCTTCTGAATAGATTGAGTGCAATCCTTGAATTTCATAGTTGCTTGTGGGTCCAAAATAATGCTGCTCTTGCTGGAGACAACCAATTTGCACTCCACAGATGCTTCTCCATGCTTGTTAACTGCTCGGCATGTGTAAGTACCAGCATCCTTACCATAACAGTTAGCCATCTCGAGGATGACATAACCAAAGTCATTGATGGTTTTTATTCGTGAGCCAGCACTCAGTGGACGACCATTGTGGTACCACTCAACACGAAGGTTAGGATCGTTAACTGGCATTAGACGACACTCAAAGTGCGCAAGACAATTTTCTTGAATAGACGCGTCCTGAGGCTGTGTGATGAACTGAGGTGCCTGTCCAACATCGGTAGGCGTTCCCAAATCAGGAGTCTTAATCATAAGACCCTCGAGTTCAGCAATTCTTTCCATACCCTTCTGCATCGACTTAGGTAGTTGACTCTCTAGTATGATAGAACGCTTGCCTTCACATTTGAGTGTAGCTTTAGTGACAGCTTCACCATAGTCATTATATGCTCGACACATATACTCACCAGAATCTTCAGGGTAGATAGGAGATATTTCCATAATAACAAAGCCAAAATCGCAGAACTGGCGAATGCGAGAACTATATTTCATTGGCTTGCCATTCCAGTACCATTCCACCTTAAGCCGAGGATCATCTGTGGGCACAAGACGAGCTTCAAAGTGAGCGTTTTCTCCTTCCTTCATGCTATCAATGTTGCTAAGGGGAACAGTGAACTTGGGTGCCATTCCAACCCTCTCAGATGTGACAGAGTCACGACGCATCCAGGCAGAGTCCTCCAGTGTCTGAAGTTTCTGTAAACCTCCTTCCATTCCTTTAGGAACTTGAGGTGTCAGAATAAGATTTGTTTTGCTCTGACACTTGAGGGTGGCTGTGGTCTTATCTTCACCAAGTTTGTTAACTGCCCGGGCCTCGTACTCACCTGAATCTTCCTCATAGCAATAAAGAATGTCAAGAATAACAATGCCAAAGTCATGGAAGGTCCTATAACGGTGACCAGAAGGAAGTTTCTTACCATTTTTATACCATTCCACAACAAGGTTGGGATCGTTTACGGGCTTCAGACGAGCTTCAAAGTGGGCACTCTGGCCTTCTACCAGTCTCTCAACGTTGGTAATCTGTGTTATGAATTTAGGTGGCTCAGCTGCTGAAGGCGATGTAGGAGCCTTAAGTGTTGTCTTGTGACCCTCTAGAGCAGCAATCTTATCAAGAGACGCGGGCTGTAGTGATTCAGTGTAAACACCTCCCATTCCGAAACAGTTAAGGTAAGCTTTAGTTGTGTCTTCACCATATTTGTTAGAAGCCTTACATAACCATTCTCCAGCATCATGATTTTGTAAATAGGCAATGTCCAGGACTACAAAGCCAAAGTCACTGACAGTTTTGATACGAGTAGCATTACGTAAAGGCTCGCCATTGTGGAACCATTCTACCTTCATCTTAGGATCACCAATAGGAATTAGAGTACACTCAAAGTGAGCAGAATCGCCATCCTTAAGGCCTTCCAAGCTCTGAATGTGAGTGGTGAACTTCGGGGGTTGTCCATGGGCGCGGTCAACACATTCCAGGGTGACGGAGCATTCTGCTTTTCCCCACTTGTTAGATGCACGGCAAGTGTATTCTCCACTATCTGAGATCTAAAATTAAGATATATATTTTAAAGTTAAAAATTTAATGAATTAGTATTTAGTTTATATATCAAACTCAGGTATGACAGAAAGTGCTAAATCTTATAACAGTAAGTGTTAACTTAAAGCATACAGTCAGTCGAAACTAACTGACCTTCGTTCCTAGGATCTCGAGTACAACCATTCCGAAAGCATAAACAGTTCGGACTCTGTGGGAGGCTTTGAGAGGCTCCCCATTGAAGAACCATTCTACTCTCATGGATTGATCACCCACAGGAGTAAGCATCGCCTCGAAGTGAGCAATCTCGCCCTCTTCCAAGTTACTCAAATCCTTTAAAAAATACAATATGTTAATTTGCATTTTTCTGTGAGCCTAGTAAATTCACTAATAAATATGTATGTACGAATGGTGTAAAAAATGTGTAAAGATATGAGATGTAGAGGTTTACCTTGAATGGTGTAGTGAAGACCGGTGGGTGACCTTCTTCATCTGGTAACTCACGATCAGCGCGACGCAGGTTCTTCTCCTCCATGCGCTAGTAATAAGAATTAATGGATTAACTTTTTACCTATATATTCGAAACTTAATAAAACATGGGGAAAATTCGCTGCAATAGCACTGATTATAACAAGACCAAAATCTTATCAAATCAGCTGTATCTTCTACAAAGGTTTTATAAAAGCAAACAGTGTAAAACTAACCTGGATGGCTTCAAGACCAGCCTCTCCAGCAGGGTGCTGAGTGCTCTCGATGAGCGCCTCCTTGCTGCCCACCACAACTGTAGATGTGCAGTATGCCTCTCCAGCCTGCAACACAAGTAGGTAAGGATATTATCATAAACTGTCCTCTCGAAGGAGGTGCCTTGATGCCGGTGAGGGGCTTTTGATCCAAGGAGTTGAACTTATCCTTTCCTTCCTTGGATCGAACCTAACTGCTTCCAATTTTCCAGGTTTCGCTCTTCCCCACGATTAAAAAAATATCAAAAACTATTGGTAAAACATTAAGGGGTTTCATATGGTTAAAGTTTTTTCACTAAATGTTGTCTTCTCTTTATCAATAAGTTGAGCATTTATTTAAAAACTGTGGAACATTGTGCAATAATTGTTGAATCTGTGAGATCTAACAGGAGCTATATAATATTTATAGTTACTGTGTTTAATTTCGATTTATGTAACACGTTTAATCACTAACCTTATTGAAGGCACGGCAGGTGTATATACCCTGGTCACGTTCATAAGCATCGTTAAGGTCGAGGGTGACAAGGCCGAAGTCGTAGCTAGTCTTGAAGCGTGAGGCCTGTTCTAGGACCTTGCCGTTCAAGAACCACTCAATCTTAAGATCTGGGTCTTGCTTGGGCTCAACGTTTGCCTCCATATGCAGAGCCTGTGTTTTGAAGATATTGGCTTTTAATTTTTTTTTTTCATAAGAAATATTTATGATTAAAGTTTAAAATTTGTCTGAATGTAAAACCACAACTCGAATTTCTATTCTATACATATCATTTATATTTTTCATGATATTACTATCAGTGCGTGATGAACAATATACTACACAGCGGTAAAGACAAACTAACCTGGTTCTCATTGAGAGAGAAATTGGTCTGCAGAGGCCTGACAAAGAAGGGCTTCGGGTAGGTGACTTCCCGTTCAGACATCTGCCTCTGGTATTTGGCCCAGTAGGCACGCTCAGCTTCTTCCACCTGTGGTAAACAACTCTTGTCAATGACAAGTTTCTAAAACAAATAAATGTTTAATGATGCATCCGGGTTAACAACAAAATAAACAATATTAGTTTATTCTCTTTAAACACTGTCCAAAATAAGTACATACGTATATATAAATCTGGAGACTTGACCTTACCTTCTCAAGGCCAGCTCTGCCCTGCGGGTGCTGGGTGTCGAAGTAGAGATTGGCCTTGCTTAGGCACTTCAGTGTGCCAGTGGTGGAGGCTGAACCCTTTGAATTGGTGGCACGGCACATGTAGATACCGGAGTCCTCGGCGTAACAATGGGTGCAGTCCAGGGACACAAATCCGAAGTCATAAGTGGATGCATATCGAGCCGCAGCCTGCATAGGCTTCCCATTGATAAACCATTCTGTATACAATTCAAGAGTAGGATGTATTACTATACAAGTCGGTTGCAAGATTTTTCACATAATTGAGTTCTTTGTATTCAATGAAAACACTGTACATTAAGATTTATAAATGACATTAAAATTTCACGTACCAATTTTCATGGTGGGGTCTCGGGAAGGTTCGACCCTGCACTCGAAGTGCGCATTGTCACCCTCACGGCACTCCACATTGTTGAGGTGGGAGATGAAGACAGGCACGTCGAAGGTAGGTTCCTCGGGGGAGCCAGGACCCTCTGGTGGTTTTTCCAACTGAGCAATCTTTGATAGAGCTTCAGGATGCACTGACTCACCAATGAGCCAGTCACGATCTATGGGGATAACGAATCACTAATTAAGCTTAAAGAGTCGAGGCAGCGAGCCCTCTTAACAGAGAGCAGATTCATAGCTAACCCACAAACTGGAAGATGAGACAATACGTTTCGTTCTTTCGTCGACTATTATCAACGTCATCTGTTTCCAAACTGTGTATTAGTTATGATTTGCTTCAGCTACAATATTGTGACTGTTATTCTTCAGAAGTCTAGATTGTTAATGCACGAGCTGCATTATTTAAAATGACAAAAATATATAATAATGGCTACACTGACCGAAGACCTTGATGTTGCAGGTAGAGACGGCTTCACCCACTCGGTTGACAGCCTTACAGGTGTAAATACCAGAGTCGTTCTCACGGAGGCCAGAGATCTCTAGAGTCACGTGACCGAAGTCGAAAGTGCTGCGAACACGTGTGCCTAAAGGAGAAAATTATATCATTTATAACAGTGTATAATAAAATAAGAAGGTAAAAGTTTACTGAATTTTTGCCTTTTAGCTTATTTATGTATTATAGTTTTATTTTCAATTTTAAATTATTATTATATTATGAAAGAAGATTATTTTCTGTATAAATATTATTATATTGGTTTATGGTCTTAGTTTTTTATATCAAAGATATATTCAAGAATTAATAAGCCACGATCTACAATATTCTTGCAAGAATTTTTAAGGTACAGACAATTAATTTTTTTTATTACAGGACGAAAGCTCCACCAAAATATGTTACGTAACCCTGTTTTCCAAAATGCCTGACATTTATAGCTGTACACTTAATAACTATCTCCGGGATATGTGCTTCGTACAATGTTAACCCTGGTGAACAAACATAGCTTCTGAAATTCTTTATCTTATTGACTGGCGCAGTCTTTTATTATACTTTTTAACGATTTGTAACAGAAAAGAACCGATATATGTCAACATATTCGTATGTTAATGTTTTCCCATTATACCATTACAGATATCACTGAAGTGAGAAAAGTACTGCAGTCAAAATATGAAAACGAGTTTCAAGCTACACTCTCACAAGCTGCTGAGAAAAACAAAAGCCTAATACCGAAACTCAGAGCTCGGTAATAAATGTTGTACGGATTCGGAGCTGTGTATGATGCATCTAATACATCCTGTAAAAAAATATTATAACCAATCCTAAAGACAATGGTACAACTCACGTGCAAGCTATTGCATCACTTATCAACTTATTCAAGAATTTAACTGAATAAACTATATAAAACTTGTCTTGTTTATTTATTTATTTATTTTTTAGAAAATAAAAACTCCTTTCTTTCCCGGAACTTTATTCAGGACCAAGTTTTGGTACAAGACAGAAACTGAAAAAAATGCAGTATAGTTTGTCAAACATATCAGAGTATATGAATGAATGGCAATTAACTTATCGTAAAGTCCTTGCAATGTGTTTTAATAATAGAATTAACTTTCTACGTGCAAAAGATCCTGAGATACTGAATATCTTGGAAAAATGGCGACTACTGAATTAGTTATCTGATTCAGAGGAAATTGATCGTCTAATCAATAAAGACAATCAGATAATTATCTGCTCGTCACTTTTCTTGCGGAGTTCTAGTATGATACCTGGATTACCTGGAGATTACCTGGAGAGAGTTCCGGGGGTCAATGCCCCCGCGGCCCGGTCTGTGACCAGGCCTCCTTAGGTCAGTGTCCCAGGATGCGACCCACACCAGTCGACTAACACCCAGGTACCCATTTTACTGATGGGGAACATAGACAACAGGTGGAAAGAAACACGTCCAATGTTTCTACTCTGGCTGGGAATCGAACCCAGGCCCTCACCGTGTGAAGCGAGAGCGTTAACCACCAGGCCACCAGAGCCCAGGTATACTTACAGAATCAAGTTTTCCACACTAAACATAAGCACGTGCTTGTGCGTGTGTATTTGTCAATTTTGTCCCTGGATTGTGTCTCAGCAGCTACAAAATAATTTACAGCTTTAACTACATCCTTTCGAAGCTTAACTGAAATCATTTGCGTATATGATTTTCTGTTTGTTGCCAGGGGAAAATCCATCCACATATATAATTAAATTCATTTTTTTTATCCCACAAACAAGATCAGAACACATGTGTTAATAAATCGTATCTTCTATATCGCTAACAACCTTCTCTAACTGTAGATATCCCTACGTCAATCTGTTCCATGGAGCAGGTCTGTTGAAGATATCACATAGCTCGATTGCTAGCGCGCTCAGCTCACACACTGAGGTCCGTGATTCGATTCCCTGTACGGGTGGAAACATTAGGACGTGTTTCCTTAAAATACCTGCTGTCCCTGTTCACCTATCAGTAAAATAGGTACCTGGATGTTAGTCGAATGGTGTGGGTCGCATCCTGGGGACAAAATTTACCTAATTTGCCCAAATGCTCTGCATAACAAGGGAGTTTCTATATAGTAGTAGGTTATTAATGTCAGCTATGCCTCTATATATTGCACATGTACTTGTAGAAATAAAGATTATTATTATTATTATTATTATTATTAGATTTGCTGCAGATATGAAGTAGTCAGTCGATTTCATGGACTAGTTCTGCTGCAGATATCATAATATCAAATATCTACTCAGATGTTTATTCCAGTAGACTAGGAGTATTACCTGCATATATAAATGATTCAGGTCTTGTTCTTTATCTAGTTGGTCTACTTGAGAGTATCGCTGCACAATACAATGTAAATAAAAAAAGATCCACTGGAATCTATAAATGTACTCGTTACTGCATGCTGTATAGCACCAACACCCACCACCACACATGTACAGCACCAACACCCACCACCACACATGTACAGCACCAACACCCACCACCACACATGTACAGCACCAACACCCACCACCACACATGTACAGCACCAACACCCACCACCACACATGTACAGCACCACACCCACCACCACACATGTACAGCACCTACACCCACCACCACACATGTACAGCACCTACACCCACCACCACACATGTACAGCACCAACACCCACCACCACACATGTACAGCACCTACACCCACCACCACACATGTACAGCACCAACACCCACCACCACACATGTACAGCACCAACACCCACCACCACACATGTACAGCACCAACACCCACCACCACACATGTACAGCACCAACACCCACCACCACACATGTACAGCACCAACACCCACCACCACACATGTACAGCACCTACACCCACCACCACACATGTACAGCACCAACACCCACCACCACACATGTACAGCACCTACACCCACCACCACACATGTACAGCACCTACACCCACCACCACACATGTACAGCACCAACACCCACCACCACACATGTACAGCACCTACACCCACCACCACACATGTACAGCACCTACACCCACCACCACACATGTACAGCACCTACACCCACCACCACACATGTACAGCACCAACACCCACCACCACACATGTACAGCACCTACACCCACCACCACACATGTACAGCACCTACACCCACCACCACACATGTACAGCACCTACACCCACCACCACACATGGACAGTACCTACATCCACCACCACACATGGACAGTACCTACATCCACCACCACACATGTACAGCACCACACACCCACCACCACACATGTACAGCACCAACACCCACCACCACACATGTACAGTACCTACATCCACCACCACACATGTACAGTACCTACATCCACCACCACACATGTACAGTACCTACATCCACCACCACACATGGACAGCACCAACACCCACCACCACACATGTACAGCACCAACACCCACCACCACACATGTACAGTACCTACATCCACCACCACACATGTACAGTACCTACATCCACCACCACACATGTACAGCACCTACACCCACCACCACACATGTACAGCACCAACACCCACCACCACACATGTACAGTACCTAACATCCACCACCACACATGTACAGCACCAAACACCCACCACCACACATGTACAGCACCTACACCCACCACCACACATGACAGCACCAACACCCACCACCACACATGTACAGTACCTACATCCACCACCACACATGTACAGACCTACATCCACCACCACACATGTACAGACCTACACCCACACCACATTACACACCACCACACACACATACACACCTACACACCACCACACTGTACAGCACCTACACTCCACCACCACACATGTACAGCACCTACACTTACCACCAAACATGTACAGCACCTACACTTACCACCACACATGTACAGCACCTACATCCACCACCACACATAGACATCACCTATATCCACCAAATGTACAGTACTTACATTCACACATGTATAGCACCTACATCCAACACCTACATCCACTACATGTTTTGTCCCTCCACCTGAAAACAGAATATTATACCTTCGTTGTAGGAGCCCACAATTCCTCCGGCGCCTGGTGAAAATAGGAAGGAAATAATGAGGTTGGATGAATATGAGTCTCGGTTCTCTGGTACTTAGCTCTCTTCTTCTTAGTTCTCATGTACATATCCAAAATAATATTTAATGTAGATGTTAATCTACCATGCACACCTAAACTATAAAAAAGGACAAGATCTGATCAGTAAAATGTGTAGATGCAGTCTCATAATTAATCTGCACCTTCACAGAACATCAAACACACAAAGATTAATATAAATACAGGACAATACATTTAAATAAATAGTGAAGTTAAAAAGACAAGGACACCTGCGAATCCAGCAATTTATTTAACGTCAAGCACCAAGCAACTGTGCAACCGGTTTTCAATAGATCAAGTGTATTTTCCAACGATGCACAGTGCGTAAATTTCTAAACGATTTGAGCTGAGACTAAATTTAAACGTTAGTCATTCAAATTTAAGTTTGGTTAACCTATATTTATGTACAAGTAACCCCTAATAACGAAATTACGACTTATGCCTCTGAAAATTTCTGATCAAAATATATATTAATTCCAGAGCAGAGCTGTGTTATCTAATTTAATCAATACACAGTAGAGAATCTATCTACCAAGAAATAACACAGGCAGCTGTAATTCTCCAATATACAGAACCATTCTCCTTACAGCATGTTTTTAAATAACACCATCATCAGGTGAGCACCACCACCTTCATAGCACACTGAATATATATATGAACGCTGATGGCAGACTTAGAGATGGCCATGAAGGCGGTCATTAATATGCTGTGGTTCTTTAATGCTTCACAAATGTTAATTAATAAAATATTTGATATTTCTGTTGAGCTTGTAATAATAGCCATTCCAGGGAATGACTAATATTGTTCTTGGTCTCAGGCAATGCTTTGAATGATAAAGTTTAATTTACTGATTACCATTTCTTGTTGACTATTTCTGGGGTTCTCCCTGCTTGGATTTATACTACCTGTAAATGGGTCATCTATATACAAACAACTCAAAAATGTTCGAGTTGTAGACCAACTATAACAAGCCTTGCCGACGTGAAGAAGCTAAATATAATTTTTGTGATCAAACTAACAACAATATATATTTATAACTATCATACTTTATTTATATTATTACATGTGTAGCTACTGGTCATACAGAATTATTATCAGAGGTCCATACAACGTCTTGTTGAATGAGAAGCAATCAGGTTCGATCAAAGGCAGAGAAGGGCCTAAAGCCCTGCTTAAATCAACATATATAATACGAACATTAACTCTAAGAAAACCGCATGCAGTATTTTTCAAGACTCACTGGCTAACAACCAGTGAAACAAAACATTATATTAATTATAAATTAAAATTTCATGCAAAATAAACCAAAAATATAGCTTTTTGACAACTAATATAAACATTTTGAACAGTGCTAATACAACTCTGAGATCAATTGTTATACACTTATTTGTTAAATAATATGATAGAGTAAACACAAACAGGACACAAGCATAGTTACAAAAAAGTAATACAAATAGGTATGATGTAAATGATTTAGAAAACCGACTGATAATACAGTAACCACTCATGATCATCTACATAACAGGTGTGTGAAACATCTTACCGGTGGCCAGTTGAATGCCGTTCTTGAACCACTCAATGCTGAGGTTGGGGTCATTAGCGGGTTGTACTTGGGCCTCGAGGCGTACGTTGCCCGCCTCCTGTAGATATACATCATTATTACCATTAGTTTATCACATTGTAGTCTATTGTGCTCCTAATATTTACTAATATATTTTTCTAATTTAAGACAAAAATTAGTGCTGCAGAGTCCTAGTCCTAATAATGGATTGTTAGATTCTTAAGCCTATCGACTGCGCGAGGGTCATTATTATTAAGGCTGTGTATTATCTATATACACCAATCAAGAAAACTTTTATCCCTGAAATAGGAATTGGGGTAAACTCTCACTTATTTTTATATAATTTAAAAAAATGGTAAACAATTCCTGAAGATGCACTGATTTTTTCTATTTTTCCTATGACAAAAAAAAATACCCCTGCTATGATTATTCAGTCTAATTTTTCCCATTCCTTAAAATACTCCAAAAAATTAAGCGTTGAGCACCACGCCAGGACAGTACCAACCTGGAGACGCTCGTGACTCTCTAGGTGCTTAGTAAACATAGGTGGCTCCAGATGCTCAGGGGAAGTGGGAGTTTCAGGTACACGGTTCCACTGAGTTTCACGCAGACGGATGGTTTCCCAGCCTGGATGAAGAGCATCACCCAGGATACTGTCCTTGGCTAGAATATGGTAAAGTATTTATAGAGCAATTTCCTTTTGTGATAAAATTTTAGTCAAATAATGTTTTGTATTAGCCGAATCAAAAAATGTATTGCATACTAATGGCTGTCTTTTGTGTCTACCAATGTTTTATTACATCTGAACTACATTATTTGTATCGTACCGCAAAAAAGAAATAAAAATTGTATTGTACTGTATGCTAAATATTGCATTTGTAGTAGACACCTTGATATAAACGATGAAATTAAAAATAATAAAAAGACGATTGCTGGGACACTCAACCTGTTACATCTGTTTAATGTTATTGTTGTGTAGCAGCTGCACAGCACATTGTTACCTAAGTTTTAGTCTCAAAATAATTCTTGAACAGAAAAATACACAGAAATGAGTACTCACCAACAACCCTGGTGGTGCAGGAGCTCACAGCTTCACCGGCTTTGTTGAAGGCTTTACACATGTACACGCCTGAGTCCTCTGGTACACACTTGAGAATGTCCAACGTCACGAAACCGAAGTCGTGGGTAGTTGTAAACCTCGAACCTAAATCCAGAACACTTATTATAATATGCATAGAAAACCAGTTTTCATTTTTGTGAGCATCGCAAACTGTGAAAACAAGGCATCCTATAGTCTCAAAACTTTAGCCATGCGGCATCCCCACACTTTACTTTCCCAGGTTCAAGTTTCAAATCCTCTCTGCACTTTCTGGTGTGAACTCGGGGAGGGGTTGCTTGTACACGCTAAATAGTGAGTGAACTTAGTATCTGCCCAACTTTATCTTTGATATGCCTTGCTGATGTCAACATACTGTATTCTTTGAATAACTGCAGTGATGCATTAATTATGTTCTAGTTTTAACAACTATTTCTCATAAGGGCTGTAAATATAATTACACAAGAATTATTAAATAAAGATGGGTGCATTTTGCTCTTCTTGTTCTAACAAAACTTTAAATTAGTGACTAGAAGTAAGATTTTTATAACCATGAAATGGCTTGATTAAAAAAAATGACCGTGCTTTGGAAACAAAATTGGCTCTGGTTCAAGTCTCAAACCCGGATAGGTCCCCACCTTTGACCAGCTAGGGGCCAGCCCAATAATAATGCCGCGTCAACACAATATGCACAGCTTAAACAAAGAAATCATTCATTTTTTTAACAAGTCGGCCGTCTCCCACCGAGGCAGGGTGACCCAAAAAGAAAGAAAATCCCCAAAAAGAAAATACTTTCATCATCATTCAACACTTTCACCTCACTCACTCATAATCACTGTTTTTGCAGAGGTGCTCAGAACACAACAGTTTAGAAGCATATACGTATAAAGATACACAACATAACTTACCCATCTTGAGTTCGACGCCGTTGCAGTACCATTCGTACCTCATGTTGGGATCTCCAACGGGAACAACACGGCATTCATAGTGAGCATTCTGTCCTTCCATGATTTGGGATGGCCCGGTCAAAGCAGTTGTAAACACAGGCTTGTCATACACCTTTCAGCAAAAAATCATGAAAGTTTTTAATCATAATACTCAAACATAGTAAAGAATATGTGCATATAATTACAGTTATATACATAAACGTAATGATAACCACAAAAAACATGAAAAAAGTGGATATTTTTTTCAAGAAATCTACTGTAATCCATTATTTCTCGATTTTTTTCCAAGATACATTACTTTTTCTGCCTCAACGCCGCGTGCATCTGGTTTGCGCTCTTCCAGAGCCTGGATCTTGCGCATGCCCTCTGGATGCTGAGTGTCTAGCTGGATGGTAGCGTGTGCTGTAAAACAATACATATTAATTATAATTTATGTATTATATTAATTATACATCATTTAATATCATTTAATAAAAGATAGGAAATATATCCTATCATACAGTGCTGGAAATTACATAAGAACATAAGAAAGGAGGAACACTGCAGCAGGCCTGTTGGCCCATACTAGGCCATCCCAATCCATCCCACTAACAAAACATTTGCCCAACCCAATTTTCAATGCCATAACTTAATTGAATGGCAATATAGGAAGTACTTACACTTGATTTTGATAGAGGCAGTGGTGACTGCCTCACCCAGATCGTTATAGGCACGACACATGTAGATGCCCTCATCGTCAGGACGCACGCCGTTGATGTCCAAGGCCACATACCCGAAGTCGTGGGTGCGATTGATACGGGAACCTGAGATGTAGGTCTCATGTTAATGACTACAAATCACATTATTCTTAATAAAATTACATATATGACGTCTCTAATGAGAAAAATTTTCAGCTCTTTCCATTATTCTCAGACAGCAGCAAAGAATATAATAAACTCACTGGTTTCAATGGGTTTTTCATTCCTGAACCATTCCACCTTGAGTTTAGGATCACCGACGGGAATAAGTCGACACTCGAAGTGAGCAGTCTCGCCCTCAGAAAGGCTGTCCAAGTTCTGCAGAGGTTGCGTGAAGACAGGACGTTGGAAGGTGCGTGTATCTTCAGATACCTGGAATTATAAAAGAGGAATGTTGATCACGGAAACCCATCTTATAGCTTCAGTCTATGAAAAGCAGTCTGTCGCACATAATCCCTTTAATGATCAATAACTGTGACGCGTTTACATATCTCATATTTTGTGTGTGTGTGTGTGTGTGTGTGTGTGTGTGTGTGTGGTGTGTGTGTGTGTGTGTGTGTGTGTGTGTGTGCATGCTTTCTTCATATGACGATATCATGAACAGGTCAATTTAGGTGAGAGCTCACTTGTCGTGTCAGACGGGTCGAGTCTTCCAGTTGACGAATCTTCTCTAGACCCTCAGGGCGAGCGGACTCGTAGATCACGCCTTCCTTGCCCTCCACCTTGAAGGAAATGGAGGAGGTGGCCTCGCCCATGTGGTTGAAGGCACGACAGGTGTAATCGCCAGAGTCTTCAGGGTATACGGTAGTAATATCCAAAGCCACGTAGCCGAAGTCGAACGTGGTGTGGAAGCGTGCAGCGGACTGCAAGGCCTTACCATCGTGATACCACTCCACACGCATGCTTGGGTCATGAACAGGCTCGATACGGCCTTCCAAGTGAACATGCTGTCCCTCTGACAGCAGGGTGTTGCCCTGAATAATGACAATACCTCTGAATTAATAATTTTTCTAAGTTACATACCGGGTATATTTATGAAAGACAAAACATTATTTTACATATTTGTGAGTAAAATAAAACTCTAAAAAATTAAAGTACCATGTTGACACGTACTCTGAGCTCTGAGGTAAACCTGGGGGGATGCATAGGAGCTTCAGCAACCTCAATACGTTCGTAGTGACCACGCTGCTCTAGGCTCTGAATCTTCTCCCAGCCAGTAGGATGCTGTGTGTCCATGTAGATGGAGCGCCGTGCTGCATACATGAGTTGTAATGAATATTTTCCTCTGTACACTTTCAGCACATCAGTATCACATCAACTCCATCACTCTCAAAGCTGATACGGTCTTTATAAACATTAAGTTCATGAAGACCTTATAACTGCTAAGAGGAAAACTCCGCACAAATAGTTTACATTCCCACAACTAAGAACGAACTGGTTGAAAAAAATCTTCAGACCTTACAAAATAAATTAAACAAATTTATTAGTCATTTGTTTTAATTCTCATTCCCCAAAATCAAAGCACAAGATTTTTTTTATTCAACAAAACCAATAGAAAATACCGCTTACTAGTGACTGCAAATTTTGATGCAAACCCTCCCTCATGGTTCAAAAAATAAGTAAACCATTACTGCGTACGGACCTGAGACTTTGACGTTGCAGGAGTTGACGGCTTCTCCCATTTTGTTGGTGGCCTTGCAGAGGTAAGTGCCGGAGTCCTCAGCGTAAGTGTAGAGGATGTCCAGTGCCACATACCCGAAGTCGTGTGTAGTACGGAATCGATGTCCTGAAAGTTACGTATCTCGGTTCAAAACACGATTCTAGTTCACATATTAATTACTCATATGTAGTCTCAAGTGTGATTCTCATCCTTTAATCCAAATAATTTCGTATGAAATGTGAATTCATTTTTATATGCACATTTCGAATAGTGTCTATCGATATCAAACCAACTGCATCACGTTAACACGTTAGTTCATGCATTGCGTTTCTTGTAACTATAATAATAATAATAATAATAATAATAATAATTGACTAACCGGCCTTGATTTCGACGCCGTTGACGAACCACTCCACCTTAAGGTTGGGGTCGTTGACAGGCTCGAGGCGGCACTCCAGGTGGCATCGCTCGCCCTCCACTAGGTTGTCCAGGCTGTGGGAAATCATCGTTACCTTCCATGAAGATTGAAATACATGCAATTTTGTTTTCAATCAGAGACAGCAGACAGAGGAAAGACAAGATTATTCTTAATATGTATGAGATGATACTATCCATATATATATATATATATATATATATATATATATATATATATATATATATATATATATATATATATATATATATATATATAGAGAAACAAAAGAGAAAATAGAATATGCTCAATATTAATAATAATAATATTCAGCTAACCTAGTTAGCGGGGTAGTGAACACAGGCTTCTGGAAGACCTGTTCCTTGGCTTCTTCAGGGCGCTGGCCCATGGATTCCAGCTGGCGAATCTTCCTGAGTCGCTGCTCATCCAGAGTCTCGGTCTGCATGCTAACTGTACCTGTGTTGAGCGGACCTCAGTAAGTCCCTCAGTTTATTCAAATATAAAATAAAAGCCTATTTCATATATCCCGTTTACCATGAGTTTCCTATGTTCCTTCCCATTTGTTTATCTCTAAGGAAGTGACCACGTCACTTATTTTTTCAAATATGACTGTTTCTAAATCGTTGATAATCACAAGAGTATTTGATTAATTACACACACACACACACACACACAGTGTATCTCTCTAATCGCTAATTCATTATTCACTACCGTCTTTTGTTATAGGGAAAGGATGGGTCACCCGCACCAGATATGACCTCTCGCGGAGCTACATCCCTTTTGTGCTCACCTGTGTTGTCAGTTGTGAGACTGAATTTTGATTTGTTTTTCCTTCAATGTTTTTCTATCGAACGTGGTAATTACTTGCATATGATCATTTTATGAATGCTTGGTGTGCTCATATTTGTGTGGTAAGCATGGTGAAGAATTTAGAAAGCAATTATTTGTACATTTTAGAAGCTAAATGCCTCCCCACAAAAAAAACTCTGCTTCATTTCCAGCAAATGCCTTGATTTTTATATTTGTACTTTATTAATGTATGAGGTTTCATATATGTCTAAGAGAAATTGATAAAAAATATAAATTCTTGCGATTTTTAAAGCTAAAGTCAAGATTTTTTCTATCCTTTGTTATTAAATGAATTGATATTTTGTAGTATATGCTATTTTTATGTATGTGCGGTGGGCTCTTATTTACTGGTTTGTGATTAAAGAATTGCAGATTTAATAATTACACCTCTGCTGCAGTCGCTTACATACCTTGTGTGGATTTTTTTTACATAATTTCCTAAATGTAGAACATATAAATGAATATAATAATGTATTAAAATGTGATGCTATTTAGACCCTTTGAGAAATTTCGAGTGAGAGTCGTGTAGAAGAGCTGCGGAGTGATGCCAGAGGAGACGCCATACTGAATTTAATGTGTGAGGACTGGACCGAGTTGTGCAATGTGATCGGGGGTTCTCAAAGGTTAATTGGGGGTTTTTGGCCTTAATTTGTAATTAGGAACCCGTGTTAATGTCCCCTGCTAAAGAATTGGGATAGGAAAGTTGCAGGACCGCAAGAATTACGTGTGGATGGAGGAAGTTAAGGGATGCGAACATCACCCACTGGGAAGTGCACCATTAGTCCTTGCATTGAGATCTCTAGCTGACCAGTATAAGGGTCTAGGTATTAGGCAGGTGATGGTGAGTGTTCATACCAATTATATTTTGTGTACCCAGCATGCCTAATTACATACAGTCCACAACTTTAATTTACCAGAGTAGCTGGTTTTAATATTATAATTATTAATTTAATGTCAGGTCTAGCTTTTTGTGAGAGGGAGGGAGTGGGCAACGAGGGAGTTACAGTTCAGCGACCTGCTGTAACTAAAGTCCCACTTACCTCACTCAAATTACTTGCAGGTAATAATTCAGGTAATGCCCTGTAAGCCTCCTGCAGGTGATTTGCTCACATAATAATAATACAGTGAGTTTACTTTAATCACTATAATTGGAATTCAAGTATAATTAACTGGTGGTCTGGAGGTGATATTGTAGCCTTAATGACCCTCAGTAATCATAAATTAAAATAAATGCTTGATTATTCAGTTGAGGTATAATGCTTATAGTGGGATAACAAAAAATACCCGTTAATAAAACTCTGTAGACGAAGAATTTTAAAGCTAGGAAAAGCTTTGGTCATTTTTTTATACGCATTGATGTTCTGTATATGCTGCATGTATACATATCCGGTGAGTTCATTTTTTTTTTTTTTGTAAAAAGTAGGACAATTATTGTAGAAAAATAACTAAGACGACTTTAAACTAATTCAATAAATTTTATTTTAACCAAAGCCAGTTATATCTAGTATGCATGTGTGGTGGGCTCGCATTATTATATCTAAGTACTGGTAGGCTCATATTATTCGATAAAGATTGCAGTTTTGCTTTCATTTCTTGGAAGTCGGTATTAAAAAAAGTACGATGACGGACTCTTTCCATAACTGTAGGTGCTCCAGGAACGTAACCTCACTGAATACGGGAGCTTTACTTCAGTATGTGTGTGTTCTTAAGTAGGACACACAATTCACTTTTAAAAAATATAACATGTGGAAGTGTAAGCCATTAATTATAATATATATATATATATATATATATATATATATATATATATATATATATTATATATATATATAATATATACATATATATATATATATATATATATATATATATATATATATATATATATATATAATAATATATATATATATATATATATATATATATATATATATATATATATATATATATATATATATATATATATATATATATATATAAATTCATGTATAATGAACAATATTTGTGAGGAATTTAAACTATGCCTGATATGTCAGTCATAAAATTTTACCTGATATGAGATATGACCAAATCTTCACTACATTCTCACGCTCAGCATGTTACATCATGTGAGAGGTCATATGTTAAGGTTTAATGTATGATCGCTGCAAAAGCCTTGCGTATTTCCATGTTACTTATCTGCATAAATGCTATTTTCTAAAACAGGCTACACACTATATACAACTTGTTCTAATATTTATATCAGGAATAATTAATCGTATGCATAGTTAGAGGCTACACATTATTTTCAACATGTTCCAGTATTTATATCACGAGTAATTACACGTATGCATAAACTAAGGCACACACTCGTCTAAATAAGCACAATGTATCTGTATTTAAATATACATCTAATACTTAAGGTCTTTTTCAGATTTAAGCGCTTTTCAAAATGTGATTTTAGTGACATGTTTGTCCCACAATTCATAGCGTTATCACACTCAACAGTCATTCAATGAAACGGCGTGTTTAACGCCCAGTATGAGGACACAGTTTTTCGTGTCACTTGGTTGCAAACACCCTATATATAACAAGAAAATGCTCGTGCATAGGCATAGGTTATTTCTTCAATTCACTGTTTAAAACTCAAAAGTTCCCAAAATCATAAGCATTCATAAGCTAATATATACTGATACACTGCTTCAAGAAAATTTATTCTTAACATCATCCATTATTTCAATAGTTTATTACTTGAAATTTAGGGGTAATCGTACCACGATAAAATTAACTTATTTAACTGAGGTAAGCAGTGATATGACTGTTGTTGTTTTGAAACAATACGATACACGTCACGTCATGCCGATAACATTATAGTTCGTTCATTCATTAAAACAATATAATGGGGAAACATCAAAATGGTATACAATACCGACAGGTTGTTAGGTAAGACACATATGCAACAGTTAGACAACTTTATTCGGAATAAAGTTGTCTAACTGTTGCATATGTGTCTTACCTAACAACCACATAATGGGGAAACACTGCGGTAGGCCTACTGACCCATGCTAGGCACGTCTAATTCGTGCCTAACCACATCCACACATATATCTGTCCAATCTATATTCAAAGCTACCCTAAGTTATCGCCCCAATGATATTAACTAGGAGTTGCTTTCCCTCTACAGTTCTATTGCTAAATCAGAACTCCCCTATATTCTTTCTAAATCTAAATTTGTCCATCTTGAATCCACTGTTGATATTCCTGTCATGGTTAAATGTTTTCAGCACATTATTTATATCCCTTTATCCTGTTTTCCTTCAATCATTTTCCTCTCTAACTCAGTCTTTTCAGAGAATGCAAGTTAAAAAGTCAGTGCCTTCAGCCTATCTTCGTAGGTAAATTTTTTGATACATGGGGTCAACTTCGTCATTATTTTCTGTATATTTTTCAGCGTATATATTTCTGTAAATGGACACCAGAACTAAGCAGCGTAGCCTAAATAAGGCTTTAATAAAGTTATATGAAGTTGAAGACTTCCATTATTTATGCTTCTTGATGTGAAGTAAAAAATGCTATCAACTTTATTTGGAACATTTATGCTCTGTTGTCTTGAATTTAAATTTCTGCTAACCAGAACTCCTAAATCTCTTTCGCATTCAGCTTGACTAATCTCTTCATTATATAGCTTGTAAATACACGGTAGCATTGAACTGGATCTGACAACCTATTTTAGCGCCATTAATAAACTTATGTCTCCTATGGTCTACCCTTTACTGAGTTTACTTTCACTATGTAAACTCTAGAATGCTATTATTTCCCTTTGAATAATCTAAGTAGGTAGGTAAGGTTAATGATGTCAAAAGGTTCATTTCAGTTAGATTAGACTATGTTGTGTTGATGTCAAAAGGTTCATTTCAGTTAGATTAGACTATGTTGTTGAATGTCAATGGCAAATCTAATTGTTTAGGTTAAGTTACCAAAGACAATACAGTTTCCCGGTTACATAAATATGAAATTTTTAATTTTAGGTTGACCTGAATTCCATTTTGGATGGAATATTAACCACAAAAATTTCAACTGAATTAGTCTGTTCAGTAAGCCAAACACATGCGTTAATAATCAAAGAAATTTCCCCCCCAAAAATTTTCATAGTCTCTATCATTAACGTTGTGACCCTCAATAACCTTTAAAGAGCTCTGCTAGCTGTGCTAATAAGGAACTGATGGTGATGTAAAAAACTGCCTTGGCAACCTTCATATCCATCCTCTCCTGGCAGCCGCCATCTTAGAGAACTCTCTTCCCCTCACCACCTCAAGGCTTCTACATAAACAGATTACTTAACTGACGCATAGTTGAGGGAGTTAACTAACCACCCGAAAATATACTGTATTTTTTTCGAGGGGGTGGGGAGTGTATGTGGAGGGTTTAGATTATGATTAAGAATAGTTTTTTTTTTTTAAGGAACGGATGGTATTTTAATTTGCTGCCACCTGGCATTGTAATTCCCGACTGTGAAGATTTGAAATCGAGAAACAATGCAAACAGCAAGACGGGGAGAGGGAGGAGGCTGTCCAACCTAGTCCCAAGATAACTCAGCCATCCCACCCACCTACCGCAATTTTCACCTGCGCTGACATTTCAGACAGCTAGAATATATCGTGACTCAAGCCTCGCGTGGCTCCCAAGCAGTTAACAACGCCTGAACAAAATGGTCCTTAGTAATAAGAACAAATTTAGCACAAGGAAATAAGTTAAATCTAAATTTACACACAACAGCGGTCTTCGGGTTTTCTTTCATTTATTAAAAATTTACCAAACAGGCCAGCGAGACCTCCCTCAATTGCACCATTAAGGTAGCCATTACAACTCGTTACTTTCAGTTGTTTCAAGAATGTAAACAGTGTATTAAAATATCAACAAAGTCTGTACTCTAGCTCTCAGGAGGGAGTCATAGTGTGCATATTTATAGCGTATTCATCACCTGTTGCCTAATTTACTCCGAGACTCCTCCTACTTTTGTAGCTCACATGGCCCCTGCGCCTCGCACACCTACGCAGGTAGGGCGCACCCTCTACGCCCTCAGTCCCCTGCACGCTGACACCTCGGCAGGAGGGCCAGAGAAAGAGGCTCATGCGAGTGATTTAAGTCATAATCTTGTTCTCCTAGCATACTTCTTATTCTCGAGTGTTATCTTCTTTTCGTTTTTTTCTAGCCTTATCGTATTCTCGTTCTTCTCATAGCCTTACGGTCATTTAAAATAACATTTTCATTGTCAATTTGCTTTGTAGTACCTAAACATATTCGGAATGTATTACTTTATAATAAAAATATATTGTTTCTTAATTGGAGTGAAGGGAAACACGATAGGTTGTTTTGTTCTTTATTAAAAAAGCCTCTTTCTCTGATGACACTGAGCATTTTAGTATGACACATAATATACAACTGACTCTAATTTTGAAAAAAATATATAATCTTCACTTAGTATGTTTTACGGGTAATGTATCGCAAACCAGAACCTCGTGAGATAATGTGATTTTTGGTGTAAAAGCGGCTACTACATGGCGCAGTTAGCGTGGGTGGTGCGGGGAGGCCTCGCAGGCCTGGCCTCTCACAAGCACAGTTCAGCCAAAGTGTTACTTGGTATATCATACGAGGATTATTTGAAACTCACATCATTAAAATACCGTGAGGGTGAAAGGCAGAAAGTCATCGTGGGAACATCAACAAAAACTACTATACTTAGATGAATGACTAGAGGAATCGGTTACTCCCAGCTACTGATAACCATATTATCAAAACAGTACCTTAGTTTGTTAACTCAAAACCACTGCCGCATATGTTTTTACATTGTTAAACTCGTGTCAGAATCCAAATCTTTCTTTTTTTTAATTGCCAGGGAAATACAGATGACAGCAACGGCACACATAGAAACGGCCGACGTTGTCATACATTTCACAACTAACTCACAAAATGGAAATGATAATTAGACAACGCATTGGTTTGTCCTGGACCATTGATTAAATTAAGTCTCACGTGAGAAAGCGAAAACAGAGAAAATTAAACGTCAGTACAGGGCAATGGAACGTAAGGAGAGAGCAAAAGTCAGGTTAAGTCACGTATATACTGAAGACCATAGCACTGGACAATGTACTGAAAAAGAGAAGCATTTACAGAAATAAAAATGGGACACAAATTCAAATTAGGAGAAGTGTGTGTAGGGGCAGATATAACAAGACGATGTCTGTAACGGTTCAAAGAGGAATAAGTGCTATTGAAAGAGGACAAACTTATGTGACGGCTACGATCCTTAACATGACAGATGACAGAAAGGCGCATTGTTTGCATCAGCAAGAACATTTCTTTAATGTACTTCACATCTGTCGGATACTAAGTGACCAGTTTCATTAATGTCTTTTCGATGTTAAAACGAACAGGAAATTAGAGTAAACACCAGAGGCATCGACGGCAATAGAAAAATTATAAATCAGATTGCATTGACGTGTATTAGTTTGATGAACTTTAAGCTTAATATCCTGAGAGCGAAAGGTTTTATCAAGATTCTATAAATCAAAAATATTGAGAAGGTAAAGTTCATTATTTTTCACTCTGCCTTCTCTGTATTTCTAACTTGTAGAATTTTAATAATAAATTTTGTCTTTGGGATATTAAACCTGCATTTAAGTAAACTAATTAACTTTGGAGCATTGTAGTTCATACTTCTCTGCCACAAATATTTCAGGTGTTTATTCTATATTTCATACTCATCTTAACATTTCCAAATAAGTTGGAGGAATTGGCTGCTGACATTAATAATGCTATCTTCTGTCATGTTATAAAAATAGCCATCCCAAAAGTTAAGTCTTACTCCAAAATAATCCCTTATTCTTCGAACCTTCACAGACGCTGACGTGTTGAATCGGCCCTTATATATCATACCAAATATGAAACTCAACTTCGACTGTTTCTGTAGATGCTTCTCTCTCTCAGAACATTGTCAGGTGCTCTAACTTTCGGACACACGTGATATGATGTGACTATCTCACCTTACATTGCCCTGACCTGACTTTTTTTTCTCTTTTTGTCTTACACGTTACATGATAATCGTCAAGGACGAATCGAAAATGTTGTTTAGTTTCCATTTCTAATTTGCGATTTAGTTGTGAATAATGCCAGCCACGGAACTGGCTTTCTGTTTTTCACCGTCCTACAAACAAGTGATTAGAAAAGTCGTGGTTGAAGTTAAAAGGTACTTTTTAGTAATATGGTGGTCGCAGTCTAAAAATGAGCACTTGAACAGATGGACACTTTCTCAAGTGATTTAAAAAACAATTGACAATCGATGAATGGCTACGACTATAAGATGACTTCGACGTCACATATCACAAGATCACTTGTTCCATCTGTTTGATCATTTTCAAGAGTACACCACAATCAAATATTGAGCAATAATGCTGAAACGTTACATCAAAACATACACCTTTGTAGTTTACCGAAAACTGTATGTACTATATCACATAAATGGCATTTCTACTACGAAAAATTAATCTATACTATGGAAATAGAGATATGATAAAAAATAAAAAAATAATCTTATAAGTGCTACAAAAATACATAACTACATGCAACAAAACTAAGAGGATCATGCAATGGTGCTGGAACTACCTGTAAGAAGATCATGCAGTGGTGCTGGAACTACCTATAAGATCATGCAATGGTGCTGGAACTACCTGTAAGAAGATCATGCAGTGGTGCTGGAACTACCTATAAGAAGATCATGCAATGGTGCTGGAACTACCTGTAAGAAGATCATGCAATGGTGCTGGAACTAAGAACAATAACTTACCTTTGAAGGCACTGCTTGATCAAATAAAATTCAAACATATTTTTTAAAACTTATTTTTATTGGTTATGCCCTAACCCATTTTCAAATACTCTTTTAAATATACTAGAAGCCATGTCAAAGGGTGTTAGTTATACCGAGTTAATATGGCCGATAATAAATATATTAGTATAAACAGCATGCAGTCATAACATACCAGTTAAACTGAAAGCGTACAGGCATGTGTATGAATGCAAGGATACACAGTCATAACATACCAATTTAATATAAAGCGTATGGGTATATGTATGAACTGAAATATGCATTAAAGTGTTTTTGTAAAACATTTCTAAAATTTGGATTGCTTTCTGTTGACTCAACATTCTTAAAAGCTACTCACTATATAAACCCAACACTAGTATTCTGTCATTTAAATAGCTTGTACAATGTAAACAAATATACTGAGTTAATTATAAGCTTTAAAAGTGTCTCCATATCTCAAGCATGGTAATAAGTTAATTAAATATGGTGACACATTGTTAACTGACCATTTCAAGAATACAATAGCACACTCATACTCTATTTAAATATCAATCTATTATACCAAAATAAAGCCAGGTTCAAAATACATGTTAACATTTCGAGATTTATATTTATATGTGTTGAAAAAGACCAAGATGTTTTAGACAAGAGGGAAGTGTTGGAGGAAACTGGCCAAAATATTTAGGTGTGTGAGGGAGGGGTTATCATGCTACGTAAATATTGGGGGTGTTGGGAATGCAGGATATGTATTTTTAGGGAATATTTGAAAGAAAGCTCAGTGGTAATAATGGGAAGGGACATTTAATTGTGTGAGGATGTGTTGGAGTAGGTTGAAAAAGATATTTAATTGTATAGGAAGCAAGACATTTAGTTGTAGGGGGTGTGCTTAGGAAGGCGGACGATGGGTCTGTCCCCTGTGTAGACGAAGCAGCCGTGAATACGTCGGGCCATCTCCAGCTTACCCTCCACCCCGATGCTGCAGGAGGTGACAGCCTGGCCCACTGCGTTGGTCGCTTTGCACATGTATGTACCAGAGTCTTCTGGGTAGGCATACAGAATATCCAGTGCCACAAAACCGAAGTCGTAAGTGGTGCGGAACCTATGACCTATTGAACGAAAGTATTAATGTTGTATTATTATTTCAAATATCATTATTGACATTGTTTTTTGTAATTGTTATATTTACTAAACAAATTGTCAGCATTTTGCAAAAATATATTGATTTGCTAATTTATTAACTATGTTGCTAATATGTATATCCATAAACACACTCATGCACAAATGAAAACACTCTTGCGCTTACAAACACTAGCACAGAAATTATTTAGGACATTACAGCTATTTTTAAAACAGCTATGAGCACTTTACCTGATGGAATTGGCTGGCCATTGAAGAACCACTCGACTTTCATGGTGGGGTCGTTGACAGGAGTGAGCGTAGCCTCCATGTGGACTGCTTGACCCTCCATCAAATGTTCTTGGTTCCTCAAAGAACGCCCGAAGTGGGGTTTTTCGATCACCTGAGCATCTTCTGGACGCTTGCTAGGTGCCTTTTGCTCAAGACGGGTGATCTGGGCCATGGCTTCTGGGTGTTGGGTTTCAATAATAAAGTCGCTCTTGGCTGTTGATGAGAAGAGTGACACAGCTGAAGAAATTGTAACATAGTGCAGTGTAATTTTAAGTTTAATTTATAAGCCATATTAATTGTTTTTAACAAAGAAAGAAAAACTCCAAAAAGAAAGAAAAAACTTTCATCATCATTCAACACCTTCACCACCATATTCATATAAATATAAATATTTGGTATTTTACCGATGTGATGCAGAGTGCATCCTCGATACTTACGTTTAACTTCTAAATTGATGGAGGAGGTGGCAGTGCCGATGCGGTTGGTAGCCCTGACCTCATATGTACCAGAATCTTCAGCCACTGCTTGTAAAATGTCCATAGCGCAGAATCCAAAGTCGTACATGGTTCTACAAGAGAATTAATAATTCTTGATAAAGACATTTTGTCTAACAACATATTACTAAGTTAATCACATTAATGTTTTATTACATCCATGGGGAAGCGCTAAACCCGTAGGGGTAATACATCTACTGGGGGAATGGGGGACATTTAGGTTCGATCCAAGGCAGGGAAGAGGTGCTTGGATGAAGAGCACCTCCCGGGAGGAGTTAATCAGTTTTACTTCATGAAGTTCTTTGCAATAAGGAAATAAACTAGACGGGAGTTAGTCGAGAACATTATTCTAAGTCAGTATATATAAATGCTTCGATGTATTATGCTTCCCTTCACATGTGGCAACGTATTAATAAGTTACAGAATAAGTAACAGGCTATGGAGACCTACCTGAACCTGTGGCCAACTTGTAGGGACTTTCCATTGTGGAACCACTCCACCTTCATACTTGGGTCTGGATATGGCTCCAGGCGGCACTCGACGTGGGCACTCTGACCCTCCCATAGTTGTGTAAGACCAGACAGCTTTACCACGAACCTTAAACATAAACCACACCATATGTAAAGCTAAGGTTTAAGTTTAATTTAAAAAAAAATATTTTTTAAAAGTTTAAAAATATTCCCTATAAATTTACTAATTGTTACCAAATCTTAAAAAAAAATTCTGAGCCATGGTATGAACTGAAAGATCCTGGAAGGTGGAACAAAATATTGTTCTTCTAGGAAAAAAAAAAAGGTTTAGTGAATTTGTTCCGAGTCAGATAAATAAACTTATCTGGTGACAGTACGTAGCTTTGGGTATATTATTCTACTTTGTATGAACAATTACATCCAGAATCTGATTGGCAACTTTGCCCATCAGATTCTGGAAAACATTTTGTACAGAGTTGTGAAGCAAAGTGTTATGATATGCTAGTTCTTTCGACGGGTGTGCGAAATATATTATGCAAAATCCGAACTCATAAAACAAATCCAAAATTAAAAATTAAAAATGAATAACATTGGAGTCATTCCTGAACTATTATCAAGCCGTGAGGAGGAACGTGGTGAAAACAAGAAAGGTTAAAAAATGTATAGACGACAGAGGCGATAAAACCCAGGAAGAATAATCTAGTAGAGTTACGTCTATATTTGAGAGATAAAAGCTACAGAAACCAAGCTTGGACTAAAATTCATGTTTGGTATGTTGTGTATGGGGGTTATTCAATGAGAGAGCGTTTGTCACAGGACATATACAGTGTATATACACTGAATTTCCATTAATCTCTATTTTTCTTTTTCAACAAGTCGGCCGCCTCCCACCGAGGCGGCCGACTTGTTGAAAAAGAAAGAAAATCCCCAAAAAGAAAATACTTTCATCATCATTCAACACTTTCACCTCACTCACACATAATCACTGTCTTTGCAGAGGCGCCCAGATACAACAGCTTAGAAGCATGTATAAAGATATATAGCATATCCCTCCAAACTGCCAATATCCCAAACCCCTCCTTTAAAGTGCAGGCATTGTACTTCCCATTTCCAGGGCTCAAGTCCGGCTATATAAAAATAACCGGTTTCCCTGAATCCCTTCACTAAATATTACCCTGCTCACACTCCAACAGCTCGTCAGCTGATAAAATTATTTTTTTTATTTTAGTATTCACGTGAATATCAGCATTAAAAACCGAAGTGCATCTTTTTTTTCAACAAGTCGGCCGTGTCCCACCTAGGCAGGGTGACCCAAAAGGAAAGAAAATCGCCAAAACGAAAATATTTTCATCATTCAACACTTTCACCTCATTCATATATAATCACTGAATACCGAAGTGCATCTATAGACATTAAACCTAATAAACTAATATTGTTACGAGTTGACATGGTTAATGGTTAATACATATGGGCTTCACCTCGGTGCCTGGGTGATGACGGTCTCCTCAGTGGAAGACTTTGTGTAGCGGGAGGAATCTTCCAAGTAGCGCAACTTCTCCAAAGCTTCGCTGTGCTGAGATTCCAGCAAGAGAGCTTCCTTGGCTGCATGGAAAGGAGGAAATATTTAAGTTACTGTAGTATGTATTACACTATGTTTACATAACTTTTTGAAGCTTAATATTACTTCTGTTTCTTCCGAGAGTGGCATCTTCAGAGACTTTTGTCAGTAACAAAAGAATCAACCTACCACATGTATATACGAGTAATGTATGAAAAAACGGCATTTTTAAACAGTCAACTTTTGTACAATAACACAGCTTTTTCCTCTGAACAATACTTACAAGATACCATAAGTGTAGCAGAGGTAACAGCCTGGCCCAAGCGGTTGGTGGCACGGCAAGTGTAGGTACCAGAATCTTCAGGGTTGACATATTTCATATCCAGAGCGACGTAGCCGAAGTCATGCATAGTAGAAATGCGGTTGGCCTGCTGGATGGGAATATTGTTCTTGAACCACTCCACCTTGAGATCGGGGTCACCTACTGGAATCAGGCGAGCTTCAAAGTGTAATGGAGCATTTTCAATGAGTTTTTGGTCCTTAATGGGTGAGGTAAAGACGGGTGCCTGCATAGTAGTCTCCTCAGTGGTGATGGTGCGCTGGGTGCGGGATGCAGACTCCAAGCGCGATATCTTGTTCATAGCATCCTGATTCATAGTTTCCATGAGGATGGACTCTTTAGTATGGCACACCAAGTTACAAGTGTGCTGCTTGACCAATGAATTATGGCGCGATACATGTGTATAGTCCAGAGTTCCTACTAAGCGATCATATTAGTAGCAAACCAAGTACAATGTAAACGAAGCCGCTCTTGACAGAACTTGTTGTGACCACCAATGTAATGTCGGTCACGCTAAGGGAATGATATCAAGCTTCAAAAATGTCATTCGTGATCCCAACGGACGCCTTGCAGAACGTGTTGTGGACCATTCACTTATATGGTCGGGTCAGACGGGGGAGACTGCACTTAAATGTGCGCGCCACTGCTCATCGAGGATTTCAATGTCTTTAGTCGTTGAAGCAGTAGCTGCGCTGTTCCATTTCACTTCTGTTCTAGCCAATGCAGCTTGACGAATCTTAATGCAACTAGTGTTAAACTTTCATTTCGGTTGATTTAATGCAATAGTATAGTTACGAATATAAATGAAACATTATGTTAAAAATACGATTTAACGTGCAAGTAATTGCTTCACTATTTTTGATTCCATAGGATAATCATGATAAAATGACGCTAAGATTCAGTATTTCTCACATTTTGCAATAAGCTGTAATGTTTGGTATTATTATATTTTGGCATTAATAATGTAATATGGATATGTTAATCTAAGTTAGTCATTATCTTTAAACCTGAAATTTTAATTAAATTGTGTATAGTCTACAAAATAAAATTATTTAACGAGTGCTTTATCAGAAACTTGCATTACGTTCTTCTTTATGACAAATTTCAGAAATTATTATATATAATATATCAAATATCACAAATATATATATATATATATATATATAAATATAATATTATATTTTATAATATATATATATAATATATAATATTATAATTATAATATGATAGATATATATATAGATAGATAGTAGTGAAGATAGATATGATAAGAAAACAAATTGTGGCATGAAAAAGCGAGAAAATAGCTATTCTACAAGCAGGCGTGCAGAGCGTGTGCGTGGTGGCGAGAGTAGCAGATGAGCGTAGGCATTGTTGACAGCTGGCCAAGCTAAGGAGGCCTAATAATTTACTCACTCAAAACCTTCAGGTTGGCTGAAATCTCGTCTTTGCCCATAAGATTCGTGGCCACACAAGTGTAAACACCTGTGTCCTCTTCGATGATATCAGAGATATCTAGAGCCACGTAACCAAAATCGTGGATAAGACGGAACCGAGAACCCATCTGAATGGGTTTTCCGTCTTTGATCCACTCGATGCGTAGATTGGGGTCGGTAATTGGCTCAATCTTGGCTTCAAAGTGAGCATGCATGCCATCCCTCAGAGTTACATCCTTCAGTTTAGTCAAAAAACGAGGCTTGATTTTGACAGAAACTTCTTCCATTGTTTCACGTCTTTGATACCGTGAACTGTCGTCCAGATACTGAAGTTTCTGTAGGCTCTCTGGGTGTTCTGAGTCGAACACTAGGTCCTTCTTGGCTACAGGAAAAGGTGCCAAGATAAAGTCAAATAGGGTCATTATAAGGTGATAAATGCCTCGAAGACTTCACAAGGTTTTATCTACATAGGGTAACATTAAGCAAAATGAAACATAAGACTGGTACTCAACAAGGTGTCTAGAAACAAACATAGGTATTTGATATCAAAAAAGGTAATTGGAGATTTTATTTAAATTGAATATACATGTAATGTGTAGTCTGAAATAACAAATCTTTCCCGGTCGTAAATGGATACTAAATGCTTTTGATCTTATTTACACCGTGAAATATTGGTCAAGGATACGGTACAGAAATTCTTAAAGGTCAACAACGGCTCGGAGTAAAAACATAACAGCATGCACAACATATATATTATTTTTCAGGTACTACTTACCAGTAACTTTGACCGAAGCTGAAGTGACAGCCTGTCCGAGACGGTTGGTAGCCCTACAGGTGTAGATACCGAGTCGATGGGGTACACACTTAACAGATCCAAAGCTACATAATCGAAATCATATGCAGGTCTGAAACGGTGTCCAACTTTCAGTGGTTGATCATTGAAGAACCATTCTACTCTCATTGATGAATCTCCTACAGGCTGCAGGCGGGCTTCCAGGTGAATGTTGGTGCCCTCAACTGTCTCGATGTTCCTCAGTGACTTGACGAAGTTTGGTTCCTGGTTGATTTCAGCTTGTTCTTCAGCTGTTCGTTGGTAGCGAGAAGCATCTTCCAGGTAATGGATCTGCTCCATAGCACCGTCATGCATGGTATCAGTCTGAATGTCACCGGTGCCAAGGACACGTACGCAGGAAGAAGTATGAGCACTGCCAAGATAATTTTCAGCACGGCATGTGTACTCACCAGAATCTGTGGTGTAAACTCCAAGAATGTCCAAGGCAACAAAACCAAAATCAAAGTATGTCTTAAAACGAGATCCAATTGTAATAGGCTTGCCATTGAAGAACCATTCAACCTTCATGGTGGGGTCGTTCATGGGCTCAAGACGAGCCTCTAGGTGAACGTTCTTGCCCTCTGGCAAAGGCTTTGGGTCCTGCAGAGGTTGAGTAAATTCAGGCTTAGATTTTGTTAGCTCCTCAATTTCATATTGAGGTTCTTGATGGCGTCGCTCTAAGGCAGCTGTCTTGCTGAGACTTACTTCATGCATCGAGGTGGTGTCAATGGCTGAGCGAGCTGTGCAAGAAACATTATGTAAATATTTTTGCTTAGCACAGTAGTGATACACTGGTCAATAACAAAGACGAACTCACGTAGAAGAAATATTAAATTCACAAACATTCTAGATCCACTGACAATCCTGCTAACAATAAAATAGAAAATGAGTACTGCATATTTCGATCACACACTTGAGGCCCTCTTCAATAATATCAGTTTTGCAGAAGAGGATCTAAGTGCAAAATAAAAATATTCAGTACTCTTCCTGCTTTTTGTTTTGACTGCGTATTCGTTCGTGCCATTACCATTACTGCTTAACTTCGTAATATGTATATTTTCAAAAATATATTTCATAAGTTATGACTACAATATACAACAAAAATATTACAGATAAACCAACTCACTTTCAACACTCATAATGGTGGACATTTGAGCCTGGCCGAGAGAATTACGGGCGACCACAGTGTACTGGCCAGCATCTGTCTGACGAACGTCAGAAATGTCTAGTGAGACATAGCCGAAGTCATGGTAAGTCTTGATACGGGATGCTGACATTATAACTTCTCCATTGAAGTACCATTCTACTGTCATGGTAGGATCACTCTGGGGTTCAAGACGAATTTCAAAGTGAGCCTTCTGTCCTTCAACGATTTTATTGGTTCCCTTCAAGGGACCGAGAAACTTGGGAGGTATAGCTACAGTAGACACATCCTCAGTCTCTTTCCTCTGGAAGCGAGAGGAATCCTCAAGGTATTGCATTTTCAATACAGTATCTTCATATTGAGATTCTCCTTCCTTTTCGGTCTTGGATAGAACGACGAGTTGGCACGATACCTGAGCCTCACCCTTGGCATTGTACGCTCGGCAAACGTAAGTTCCTGCATCTTTTACGATCAGTGCCTTAACAGTGAGAGCAACGTAGCCGAAGTTGAAAAATGATGTGATGCGTGAACCTGAAAGGAGAAAACGATTTAAGGTCTCTTTGTAACTATGACATTGTTATTTATCTCCCATTACCATAAATACTACATGACACAGAATATCGTTTTTAAGAAATTATTAACTTTAATTAACAGTGTAAAATGATAATTATAGTATATAGCTTAAATATAAGAAGTTACAATCAAAACTGCAAGGAATGGAAAGTAAAAATCTTACTAGCTTCCATAGGGCGTCCATCCTTCAACCACTCCACCTTCAACGTTGGGTCCCCGATGGGTTCCAGGCGAGCCTCAAAATGGGCATAGCCGCCCTCCCGTGCAGTCGAATCCTTGAGCTGTGTCTTGAATACTGGAGCAGTTGATGCCTCGGCCAACTCTGAACTTGTCTTCTGTAGCATCTGCAACCTGAGGGATCATGGAAGGTGAAACTCTTACTACAGATTATATTTTAAATGCGGTTATTTCTATATTGTTGATGAATATATTGTAGTATTTACACATTACTGGCAAGAATTGTTACCTGTATGCCTCCATCTCCTCGACACTTTTTATGTGCTGAGCTTGTTCTGGGATGCCCAGGTCACCTGTTACACTCGAGAGGGCTGTAGAAAAGATATTGCGTATGTACCTTTCTTCTTTTCTACATTTACATTACGTCTTCCCAACACTAGTTTAGCTGACTCCTCATTTGAAATAATTACTAAAACATTTAGCAATATCAATGGATGATTACATAAAACTTATTAAATATTACTGAAACTGAATACATATCTTAAGCTGACTAACAGAAACTCTGCTGGCATCTTAAGTGTGAATATTACGTATGAAGTGATCTCAGAATTAATGCTATTTACAGAGCAACCTAGTGTGAATATTGTGCAGAGTGCACACACGTTATAGTGCATATACCACTGACTGAACAATATGTTTAACATACAAGTGCACATACGTTACAGTGCATATACCACTGACTGAACAATATATTTAACATGCAACTAGTAAACTGAATACTATAGTGAGGTTACCTTTGAATGAACAATTTGTACATAAGTGAACATTAAATATAGCTCTGGATGTGTGTTATCAGCATGAAGACCGTGTAGGTCATTCAGTACAAAGAGTGGTAGGCTCGATCCTCCATCTATGGCCCGATCTTTGACGAATAGGTGATCACATGTAGACTTTAGCCAACAGAAGAACAAATGGATGGAGTGTGATACTCACAGATGACCCTGATGGAGGCTTGACAGGTGCATTCTCCAGCTTTGTTGGTGGCGCGGACGGTGTAGATGCCACTGTCTTCCTCTCGCAGCTGCATGATGTTGAGTGCCACATAGCCAAAGTTATAGATCACATTTATGCGAGAACCTAAAGTAGCAGAAAGAAGATCTCCATTTTGTAATGGTCGTGGATGCATGAACCCCGTATAGTAAATAAGTAAACTAAAAAAATATCAGGTACCTTCAAAATGCTTAAAAATTATTACATCAATATGTCATCCACAGTTTCCACATGTGACAGATAATACATCAGCGCACTTATTTCTTTGTTTAATGAAGTGCTATATTTGTCTACTCACTAGCAGTAATATGTTTGCCATCCTTAAACCACTCGATTCTCATAAAAGGGTCGCTGACGGGATGCAACTGGGCTTCGAAGTGGGCGTACTTGCCCTCCAAAACCTCGCCCAAGTTGCTCAGAGGCTTGACGAAGGTGGGTTTGATTGTACTAGACTCGTCAATGGAGATGGTTCGCTGGTAGCGGGAGTGATCTTCCAAGTAGCTGATTTTCTCCATTGCCTCAGGGTGTTGTGTCTGACTCTCAATCAAGGGCCGCTCTGAAAGTTTCGGTTAGTAGGAAATATTAACTAATTAACTTAAAAGAGCACTCTGATATTTAAAAACTGGCCTTTGAATATAAATATTGCAAAATTACTCTTATCAGTAGGTGTAACATGTCTCTTGCTTACCCGTCACACGGAGATTGGCAGATGTCTCGGCCTGGCCCTTGACGTTGGTGGCACGGCAGGTGTAAACACCGGAGTCAGCGTTGATCACGTTAAGGATATCTAACGCTACGAAGCCGAAACGGTATGTCACGGTTGCTCGGGAACCTAATAAAAGGAAACCATAAGACCACACGTCCTGATATTCGTTTAGACGTACAGTGATTAAGAAATGTAAAGAATAAAAGACAATACTAAGATTGGAACCGATGACAACTAACCACAAATTGGAAACAAAATCTGAAGGCTGCTGCGGTTCATACTAGACCATTATCAAGCCACAACTTGATGATCTAAGATGGACTGAAACACTCTCTGATTTTCATGCTTTGACACAAATATTTTTTGTCTCCATACCCAAACTTCATTCTTTCTACAAACTTCTTAATATTATACTCATGCAACTTTGCCTACTGTGTAATTCATTTCTTCCTTTGTAAAATCATTAGTATATTTTTAAATATATTCACGTCTTCGAATACCTTTACAACACATTCTGACTTCTATACTTTCATTTCTTAAACTCATTTTCATCTTAATCATTTTTGCATTAACCTCGAATTTCCTTCTCTCGCACGGTTTTCATGCTCTTTTACCTCTTGGTTGATTAAGCGTATCGACTGCATGAGGATCACTAAGATTGCATTTCACTGTACCCCATCCATAAAGAATAGTGAAATCGTAACACATGGATTAAAATACTCTCAATATATATACATTGTACCTCTGTAGGCTATTATACATAAATAAACAGCAGACTGAGTACTTACTGGCAGAGATGGGTTTGCCGTCGATGAGCCATTCAATATTCATTGTGGCATCACCAACGGGTATCACCTTAGCTTCGAAATGGGCACGAGTGCCTTCGACAATATCGATATCCCTTAAGGGATGTGTAAACTTAGGGGGTTCGGTGGGCTGCTCCTCTTCAGGGGCCTTGGGCACATGGTGGGCACGCTCCACGGGGCGCAGGATAATTAGTTCGGGCTCGGGTTCAGGCCTAGAGTGTCAGAATATTAGCTATAATCTTATGAAAAAAGCATAATGTACTGTATTCTATTAGCAGTCGACGTAAACTTTGACATAAATTATCTGTAACACAGCATTTAATGAATCTTAAACGGTAGAGCAATGACAGAAGTAAGGTTATCTTACTCTGGTTCTATAATCTTTGTAGGTTTAGGGAAGTGAGGTCGGTGCGGTGCCGAAGGTGCTGGAGCCTGTGGAGTTTTGACATGGAGGCGGGCGCGGGTCGCAGTGGATCCAGCGGAGTTTTGTGCGTTGCATTGGTACCATCCAGCGTCTACGACGCCTGCACTCAGGATCTGTAGACACGACGCTCCATTCTGGTCGTACTGCACCTGCAAATACACCAAAAGAAATGTTTAGTTTAGAGTTTACCGGATTAAATCAAAGAATTTGCATAACTTTAGTTAAATGTTTTACCTAGAGAATGGTGATCTTCAGGTAACCCAATAAATATAATAAAGATGAAGAGTTATTAGCAAATAAAGAACTTTAAAATACTCATTCATTTCAATAGAATTCTTACCCCTTAAAATGTGCCCTCTCTCTTTCTCTCTCCATATTCGCACGTGTATAATCCGTGTATGTATAAAAAAATATAAATAAATTATGTGGTTCAAAGAAAGGATAGCGGTTATTTACCATCACGTTCTGTGTATTCTCTACACTGACGCCGTCTTTCTGCCATGAGAGGACAGGCGTAGGGGTGCCCACAGCGCGACACTGAAGTACCACAGTCTCCCCTTCAGACACCGAGCACTGCTGGAATCTCTCCACAAACTTGGGTGAGACCATCTGCTGCATCTCCAGCACGTTCAGCTGACACTGTAATTGTACGGAAATACTTCATAAAATAATTATAAATGAAGATAAATGTAAGTAAATATATATTGTAACAAAACAACAAACGAAGTACAGTATACGTTTAGCTCTCACTAAAACTGTAAAAATCTATGACTCCTAAAACTTGGTGTATACCGAAAATTATCCAAGTCAAACTATATATTAATGAAACGCCAAAAACAAGAATGTGCTTAGCATGATAAATCATTTAAAGTTCATTCTTTCTAGTGGGGGTCAGATTAACATTTTGCACATGGTAATTATAAAATGTAATTCATAATGAAATAACCATTGGCACTGGCACAAATAAAACCGTATGAAAACATTAAATTTGAGAATAAGATAAGTACTTTATATTTTAGCCTCACACAGAGGGTTAAATACATTAAGCACTAGTATCATTTTCTGTTTTGTCGTTTTCCACGTGATCTTGTTTGTACGATAGAACTCTTCTTTAAAATAACGAAAAAGTATCCTAATGAACCTTTCTGAGATGTTCTTATAGTCCTGTAAGTCTGTGATGAGCTACAAGAACCCACCTGGAATGTAGCCTCGCCTGTCTTGTTCCTGGCAACGCAGGTAATGATGCCAGCGTCCTTGAGGGAAGCTCTCTGGATCATGAGGGAGTGGTTGCCTGCCTCGTTCACCAACACCTTGTGGGTGGCGTCATCTACTACCAGTACACCATTGATGTACCACGCCACCTGTCACCATTATTAAGGAAGGTATTGTTAAAGATGCAATCGTTTCATTAAGAAGTTACTCAATTTAACAGTCCTGAGACTCCATTATTTAACAAAGCCAAATGACTTTAGCAATCTCTTTCTGCTTATTTTAAGTTAAAGTTATGATTAATTTCATAATATATACACAAAATCATCTAAGCTCCGCTCACCTCTGGGTAAGGTCTGCCAGAGACACGAGCATCGAAGCGGACCATCCTGCCCTCCTGCACCTCGCGGTCAGTTGGGCCGCGCACAAACTTGGGTTCCATGGACTTGCTGCTGTCGTCTCCTGTATCTGCCTCCATCACCTCATATTGAGCCTGCTGCTGCTCACTGAGGATGGACACACGCTAAATTTAGCTTACTGACATTAATAAGAATTTATCCTGTCCTTTCCAATTAAAGTTTCTCCCAAATTTCACATAACCAAATTTTATCTCTATTTATTGCAATAGTCAATTATAACATATTTTCCTTCGTTAATCAAATTAAGTTATTTGGGTAAAACTCGTGAGTTCAAACGTCGAGGTTTTCCAAAGTAATGATAGCCTGCCCAGCACAGTTATTTTAATGTTTCTCATACACATAGTGTGTGTGTGTGTGTGTGTGTGTACCTTCATTCAGTAAATACATTGGCACTTTCAACAGTACAGTACCTCTTTAGTCCGTCTTTACTCCCCGCATATTTACTGTACATAAATGAATCTTTCTTAGTTACAAATATGAAATCAAGATTGAAAGACAAATGAAAGCGACTCACATCCTTTCGGGACGGATGATCTCAGGTACGGGGACGCCGTTGGTGATCTCCCCACGGGGCACCACGGCCAGCTGGGCAGAGGCCACGGTACAGCCAGAGTTATTCTCGGCTAGCATGGTGTAGTAGCCATTGTCCAACGAATTTACTTGCTTCACCACCAGGGTCACTTGTCCGGCAGACTGTGTCATCAGGTACTTATCACTCGCCTGAAGACGTACACCGTTCTTGAACCAAACGACCTGAGGAAAAAAAAGTGTAAATCAAGTACGTACTTGGAGTTTTTAATCATTCCTGTTGTATTGGTTAGGTAATTTTACGACTGATACATTAAAGTATGCTAGCCTTTTTTTTTTATAAAGTTAGCTGTGAAATTAACAGTTTACGCAACAGCCTGCCTGATTCCCTAGTTATGAGAATCCGTGTGTGTAGCGACCTACCCTGGGCGTCGGGTAGCCACTGACACTGACTGTGAAAGTGGCGTTTCCTCCATCGGCGACCTTGGTGGAGCGAGGTTTCTGCTGTAGCTGAGGTGCCTGAGGAGGGCCCTGGATAGCCCCAACCTCCACCTCCACCTCCCCCGCCAGCCGCATAGTTAGCGACTGCCGGAACTCCACTTCATGAAGCAGTCTGTACTCAAAAGTGTCCACGCGGAAGGATTCAATTTGTCCATTTTGCACCGACATCATATGTTGCTGCTGCTGCTGAGAAAAAGATTGTTGCGACATATGTTGTTGCTGCATCATGGACTTGCTTTGTGACATCTGCATGGACTGCTGCTGCTGTCGTTGTTGCTGCATCATGTAGGCCGCTGAAATGATCACTTATTATTAGTAATGAAAAAAATTTACACAACCTATTTTCCTCTTTACTTATATGTATCAAAAAATGCCAAATTCTATAAAATACATTTGGGAAGAATTTGTGATTTTGATGCTATTAAGATTTCGCAAAATATGAAATTGTAAATTAAATTATCCCACGTATGAATAAGGGTACGAAGATGAGGGTGCTGGAAGGAGACTCACCCTCGGGCTGGATGTAGACTGTACATATGGCCTCGCCGTACTGGTTAGCGGCTGTGCAGGTGTACTCGCCCTCATCGCCAGGACCGATGGCGGTAATCAGTAAGGTGACTATACCTGTCGTTTCGTCGTGGGTCACCTGTTTCAGGGTTATGGCATAAGCATCAATTTCTATTTATGATTATTTCTACTACGACTATAACTACTATTACTACTACTACTAGTAGCAGTAGTAGTAACTGTAGTTACAGCAGTGCTCAAGCAATCAGATTTCTTAATGCTATATATAAATAGTTCGATATCAAAGGTAAATACATGTACATAATTGTATTATCATCATCTTCATCACCATTATTATTATTATTATTATTATTATTATTATTATTATTATTATTATTATTATTACGAATGCGTTTTTTGAGCACATATTATGTACAATTTACAACTACTGCACACTTTTATTCGTTAATGCTTTATGAATATAAAAATAAGTTCAAATTACTGAGATATTATGAACATAAAATACAAAAGCAGATGCATTTTGCGTATCACAAGGACTTAATACATCTTCAACAATAATCCTAATAAAATAAATGTGAATATGAGATGATTATATTCACGAAGTTATGTGGAGTATAATACACAAGGGTGTGTAACGCGGTGTTTAATATACAGGGTGTGTAATACACAAGGGTGTGTAATATACAAGCGTGTATAATACAGAAAAGTGTATAATGAACAATGGCGTGTAATACACAAAGGTGTCCAAGACACAATGTATAATCTACAAGGGTATGTAGTAAACAAAAGTGTGATATACAAGGGAATATAATACAGAAAGTATAAAACACAAGTTACTCACCTGGTACTTGTTACCGGAGGCGATTTGTGCTCCTTTGCGTGTCCAGGTGACTGTGGGTTTGGGATTGCCCGTAACTTTGCCCTCGAACATGGCATCACCGCCTTGGGCAAAGCGAGCATTGCGGAATATTTGCACGAAAACTGGTGGAGACGCGCCCGGTGGCATGCCAACACTGCGGGCGAGAGAACTAGTCGTGAGCACGATATACATCCAAACATAAGAGGAAAATGGTAACATAACATAATAAGAGTTATCTAGAGATACATGTCTGAGCATTAGTATATAGGTTAATATCTGAATAGTCTTAAACATCTGTATAGTACACCTCAACGCGGTTACAGAATATATATACTTTTACAAAGTAGAGTGTCGGATTCCGTCTTTCTTGTAAGGAAGATAAACAAAACTACCTGCTTGTTTGTGTGCAGTCCGGAAATAAAGATAATCCAATTGCATCATCATACGAAGTGAACTTTTAATTTTTACTTGGTGGTTGGCTGATTAATAGGGTTTATGGCCTATCGGCTCCACAATAACGATCATGGCTGCATGTCACCTATTCACCACCAATCAAGAATAATTTCATTCTAAAAGTAGGGATAAAAGTAAACCATCAGCATATTTATGCCAAGAGACATGCACCTCACAGTATATATATATATCCTCTGTGAAGTGGACCGGAAGTTCTCGGTCATGAAGAGAAATGGCAAAAAATACCGACACGATGGAAAAAAAAGAAACAAATGCAGTATAATGCGATCCTTTATTGACGACGTTTCGCCCACATAACAAAAAGCTCCGGATAAGCCATCATAGGACCTTTGTCAGGTAACACTTTTCCTGTTTCGTGACTAAGAAAAAACCATCAACATCCACTGGGAATTTCAGTTAAACAAAGGTGTACTTCTCTGCTTATATGCACTCAATAGTTAATCCGTTTTAAGAATGAAAGAAAATTTACCTGTTAATAAATAGTTGCTACTGATATATAACATCCAAAATAAGCTTCCCACACAATGACACTAAATGTAAAGCAAAGGGAACTTTCTAAGATAACTTAAGGAGCAATATATAAATTTACAAGACACAAGATAGCCTTTTTGAAGGTTAGATCATTTAACATTACAGCTGAAAAAAAGTAACAATATTCAAATATAATTAAGTAAAAATACAGTACCATACTGCCAACTAGACGTTCTGTGATTAAGACACGTGCAACAGTTGGGTATCTTTATGTTGAAATGTTTGCTTACATAATAGGCTTCTTCACTCAAATACAGAGGCAGCAGGTGTGTTAGTAGTGAAACGAAGATGATGTTATCAGTCCATCAACCTTGGAGAAATAGTATTTGAAGTGGTCAGACCCTCAGCCTGGGGAAGAGTTGAGCTTGTCGGCATTTTATAACATTTTCAACATGGACGCTTTGTATTGCCCATACACATATATATTTGCCTCATGATTTCCGGACAGAGAATCGAGCCTCCACCAATGTTTGCACCAATGACCCAAGTGGATTTTCCGCTTTCAATAAAAAAGGATGATTTAATATCTCTTCCACCATGTAATATTAGCCTAATCAAGTGAAATATTTAAAAACTGCTACAACTAGAAAACTCCATTTCCTGTTCGTATACATACATGGGATGACAACAAAGAAGTCTTAAGACGTTGGTCTGTGTAGCAAGTGAATAATTTTTAACGAATGTTTATCTTAAATTTGAAGGCTGGAATGATGATTCTACGGACTTATCATCCCACATTTCATAACCTATCCAAATAAATTAATAAACTCGGGCATTATTTATCGGCATTATTGGTGAATTTTGTATGAGGTTTATATTTGGCAGAAATATTCGAACTACTTTAAGACTGTGGCTACTCGACATAGTAGCGACTTAAGTATACACGTTCATACGGAAAAACAACATATATACGTGTAGGGAGAATGGCACAACCTACCAATACATAAACTAATTATTTATTTACTATCTGTTTTTATACTCTTATAAAAATAAGGTATATCAAGTGAAGTATAACACTCCACCGATGTTTACATACAGTATGTCGAACCAAGAGATGCTTTCCGTACAGTAATTCACAATATAAATACGCTCACAACGTTAGCATTAGGGTGACCTAAATATATAAGAAAGTCTCATGAGATTTAATAGGTAAAAAAAAAAGAAAACAGAAAGAAACGCTAAGTCCGGCCCGTGTAAACCAGCAGTTAAATCACAGATGCATGAATAGAAAAATCCTTTATTTAATGGTGTTTCGCTATCGGTGGAACTTTGTCAAGTACCCAGACTACCCCACCTTAATCTGGGTCCTAAGACACGCCGTTTTGCCGCGCCCCGTCATAAAGTCGGCACAAGTGAACGGATCATCTTATGAAAAAGACCAACATCAGGTGATTTTTCCTGACGAATTAACCATCAAAAACAAAGAAAAATAATTCGAGTATAAAACATTAATAACATCAGAGGTAAGAGTATGGGCATGAGCTAATCATGTCATTAGGATATGAGTAAGGAGGAGGACGTGCCAAGATGGTGGGCGTGGAGCGAGACTTGTTGGCGCTGCCCCCCTCACCTGAGTCTAGTGCCAACATGTGGGCGTTCCTGGCACTCCAGGGTCACCATCCCCTCCCACATACTTGAACCCCTCACCATATTACAAAAAAAAAAATCTTCAACTTCAATTTGCATGACACTCATACAGTGAAAACTTATATTTATGCCATGGGAGTTTTGGCTTAAAAGAGATTACACCCGTAACATAAAGTTTTCCTCTCTTTCAACTAAGACAAAGCCTCCGCTACTGAAATATTCATCAAGAATGCTACTAACAATAATAATAGATGCCATATATTTATCAGATACTTGTCATGACTATTTCAACTGCAGTTGTTATTATATATTCAAGAATAAGGGTTAAACCCTTATGGGTCAGAACGCCTAAGAAATACAAGATAATCACAATTATTCCAAGGAAGAAAAGGCAACGCCAATTCTTTGGATTAAAATCATTTCACCGGCACCAAGGCACATTCTTTGAAGGGTTTAACTGGTATAAACGTTCAGGATTCAGTCACTCAAGGACAAGATTAAAGTATGCCTTTCCTGAACACCATCGCTACTGGGGAGGGACGCCAAGGTGATGATGTCACTTAGCTATGTTCAGTATAATGCATATGAACCCACACACCACTGTGGACCATGAGTGATTTCTAGTGCACACAAGTACCGCATGTAAGAGTCTCGATATAAGGTAGCGTCAGGTTCCTTTTCCTATTATTTATTACTTATGATAAAGTAATAACACGATTGCAAACAAATCACGGAATGGTTCAAGCACCACCCGTTCCGTGAATTATAATTATTATATAAGAAGATAATGAACACTAAAGTAGGCCTACTGGTCCATGCTAGGCAGGTCCAACTCACAGCCACCCACACTCATTCATATACCGATTTAACCAATATTCTCGCAACAAAAACGCTTCCTGGGAGTTTAATCCACTCATCTGCAACTTTACTGGCAAATCAATACATCCCTATATCCTTTCTAAATCTAAATTTGTATTCAAAATAAATGTTAAACCCGTATGGGTCATACAGATTCATCTTAGAATACTTCCCTATATTCTTTCTAAATGTGTACGCAAAAAATATGAGCTAAAAATCCGTAAGGCTCCTACAACATCATCTTAGTATGCAGGTATAAACTATAATTGAATGTTATGATGAAGAACGTGACTCACTATTCATCCCCGGTATTCAACCTGACAGGTAGACGCACTCTCTCATTCTGAGGTATGTATACCTGGCACCTCAAGGAAGGTGCCTCGATGCCGATGAGGGGCTCTTGATCCAAGGAGGTGGATGTTTCCTCCCTTTCCTTAAATTGTTTAACACTCGCCAAACGCTGTAAAACCTACGGGTTTAGCGCTTCCCACTGATGATGATAATAATTATAAAGTGTACGTTGACTGAAGCTGGAGATTGTTACACGTGAGGCGAAGCAATGAACGAGTTAAAGACATACGAAGTAACAGCCATTACGATTATTTCACAATTAACCCACAAACTGGAAGTTAAACTGGGCGATGCTTCGTGTACATCCTGGATTATTACCAAGTCATTGATGCAAGGTAAGACTAAAGCCAAGTTTTTCTCTTCCAATTTTTGAGCTGTGAAGTGTTAAAACTACGGTAGTGCCACAACTATTATTCTTGATTATGATTTCATATTCAGCCTATCATCTTTTTAAGCGCCGTAAACTTGTTTGATAAGCAGTCTATCATCTTTTTAAGATGATAGGCTGCCTATCATCGTTTTAAGCGTTGTAAATTTCTTTGTGTCAGCTGCACACATCGTTCACAGAGAATGTAGCTCAACAAGACCAAAAAACACTTATAAGGGATCGCAGTTTAAATATTTGCGAGGCAGCTGGTCGCAGATGAAAATTGCCAAAATACATAATACTCAAGGTGCCAAAGTGGTTGCACGTGTTTTTATCTTACTTGAAATTTCCCGTTTAAGTATCCCAAGGTGTTCTCCGAGACAGAAAATCAACTCAAGATTAGGCTCTTCACTGTAAGTTGCAGAAATATATTGTTATAATTTTCAGGACAGCGACACCATCATTTAATGTGTCACAATGAATTAGTTGGCAAGGGACAGACGGCGACTACAGTTATACATTTTGGGACATTTGCTGGTGAGGGGCTCTTGATCTAGGGAATTGGATCCATGCTCCACTTCCCTGAATTAAGCCTAAATGCTTTCCATCCTCCCTTCACAGGCGCTGTATAATCCCTACGGGTTTAGCACTCAACATAATAATAGTTACCCATTTCATTTAGCATGGAAAACAAATTGGCTGGAGGACGAAATGTTGACTGGTATCTGAAAAAAGATATACAGAAAAAGCTTTCATTTAAATACACCGAGAGGTGCATATATGCTGAGTTTATTTTAATACTTGGTTATGAGATTAAAATATCCTCGACTAGTTGTGAACCAATTATATGCAAATTTAATTACATTTTGTCTAATCGATAAGCTTTAAATCCAGTTAATCATCTAAGGAGATATTTATCGTTCTAAGCTGTGCTTAGAACGAAACGTGCATATACAGGTTAGTTCTCATTACTCCTGTGTTATCTCACATTAAAATCAATTTCATCCTCTTGCTGAAACATCAACAAAGACACCTACATCTAATACGTCTTTTACATCATTATTATTTGAATTTCACGTCTTTTACAAGATAATTATAAACCTAACGAAATCCCCAGGTGACAAATATGAAGTAATTCCTCAAGGGTTTTTACCACATCACCCTTCCTTATTTGTAAAAGAAACATTACAACAATAATCCTTAAAAGAGTTTGTGACGTTAACGACCCATGCATGTAATTATCAGTTAAAATCAATTTACTGACTGACAAACAATTACAACTGTTTGAAAGGTTTGTGGCAAAAGTGAAACACAATAGCATATGGTGTAAATAATAATAATAATAATAATAATAATAATAATAATAATAATAATAATTGGCGCTGTGAGCAAACTTCGCCACCTGTTTCCTTTGGCCCAGAATATGCCAAGACTATTATTAAGGCGCGGGCCATGCGCAGTAAGTCAGATTTTTGTTGGAGACTCAACACATGGTGCCTGGCAATGCAGTGCCACCCACTTCTGGGTGGGTGTCTTGGTTGTGGTGAAAGGCTCTTTATACAGGGAACTGCTGCTATCCTTCCTTTCCTCGTATCAAACCTAATTACTTCCCATCTCCCAGGCGCTGCGTGACCATTACCCCATGAATATAAAAACGAAACTGATGGAGTAGCAAGTTTCACTAGTAACACTGGCAGCAATGATGGCAGACTCATATTTATCCACTCATTTGTTTTGACTTGTTAGCTCTGTTTACAGCTCTACATACAGTAAACCATGGACTACTAAGAACCAAAATTAAACCCGTTTCTGCAAAAGGACACTTAAGATGAAATTTTGGAGTTCGGTTACTACCCAAGTCATATGAAACATACAGAGACTACTCATGCTAATCTGCCCGTGTTGTTGTTATCCCTCAAAAATTAATGAATACCATTAAAAAGAATTATGAATTATTATTATTATTATTGTTATTAATATTATTTAAATAAAGAGGCGGGATAACTCGAAAAAAAAGAGGAACCACTTTCCTGTCACACATCACAGTTCGAGTGATCCTCTGAACTGCAAAATCACTCCTTAAGAGTGCAGACACTGTATTTCCGACCACCACGACAAGTCCAGCTAACCGGTTTCTACTAATTCCTCCCTAAATGTAACCCTGCTCACACCCGATCAGCGCGCCAAACTATAAAAACTACTTGCCTCTACTATCTAATGCGCTCACACAAGCATGTTGGATGTGTAATTTTTCTCTCCTTTTCCCCTTTCAACCCTTCTTAGGAAGACCCCTAACGCCTCCGTCCCTCAACTCCAAATTTAAGCACTCTCCTAGTCAGACTATTTTAGTCAATTCTCTCTAAATGTCCAAACCTTCTCAACCTCTCCTCAGCACTCTGAATAATAATTTTGGTAATTCAAATACCTTCTAATCACTAAGCTCAAAATTATCTGCATAATATTTACACCACACACTACCCTCAAACATGACATGAGATTTCCACGACTTCCAACCTCCTTGCTGCAAATTTTAAAATCAGTGTTTCACACCCATATAACAGTATTTATACCACTATACTCTGGTACATTTTCCATGTTTTGCCTCATTCACACAACCATCAGTCGATAAGTTCACTCCCAAATAACTGATTACTTCCTCCATACTTCTTCCAATTTGATATCCAGTCATTAATTGCCTATTATTTTTTGTTACTCATCAACTCGCTCCTTCTTATTTTATTATATTCGTGGGGAAGCACTAAACCCATAGGAGTCATACAGCTCCTGGAGAGTGGGAGGTATTTACATTTAATCTCAGGAGGAGGGGGGGGGGTAAGTTAGTTCCAATTCAAGAGCTCATGTTATTACATAAATGTTCAATGACTGATGACTATATACTTATCATTTGTATGTTGGAGATATAGACGTTGCCTTATAAGACATCTTAGATAATAAGTTTATAAATTGGTTACTGTTACAATTTATTTGACAGTTTATCGCAGGTATATTTCGACCCTCAAAGGTCAAAGGGAAAGCCACTCTAGAAAATTCATTGTATGAATCACAACTTGGCTTCCGTTGCATTTTTTTTCACATTTTTTTATTATTTTTGCAGATGTGCTCATGGAAGATGGCATGACAGAGGTTCAAACATGAGTATTGTTGCTTGTCAGATGCAGTCCATACAGGGATCGAACCAGGTGCTTTTGGTTATGAGCCGAATACTACCACTGAGCTAGGGAACATGAGGCCGTAAGAGCCTAGTGGTTATATCTAAACCTTAAGAAGGTTTACGAGACTAGACGGTAGCAAATAACGCATAAGCGGCTGTAAAGAGGAAATAAGACTTCATTTGCTTTATATGAAGTGCTAAACCGGTGTGAGCGATTCAACTCGTGGAGTGGAGGAACGATACTCCGTCCGTGCGAGTCATTAAGTGCACAGAGGTCAGTGAGGCTGAGAGAAATACACCTCTCAGGGTATATATCCTGTGGGCTGAGGTCATTCAGGGCAGGGAACAGAGGTTCGATCCTCTGTCCGTGTAGGTCATTCAGTGCATGGAGTGGTGGTAGGTAGTTGTGAAAGTTGAAGAGCCCTTTGATCAACCATGTAGATCATTCAGTGTTCTTGGTAATAAAAATTAATACAATACACATAAGAAAAACGAAGATAAATTTAACAAACAATAAAACACTACAAGAATGAATAAAACACAGCTCAAATAAACAGTCACACCAGTTAAAATGAGCGCCTGCAAACAGCGGTTATGAGTGAGAAGTTTGTTCCCGATCTTAAAGCAACAGAGATTCGTCTCAAGTAAACGATTCCTGTTAAAGGAGGAGGATCAAACACCAACGTCGTACTGAACCCTGTATAACTTGTTCCTTGTCTACAGAGTTTATGAGTAAGAGTAAGAGGAAAGGGATACTCACGGCATCATCTGTGTGGGGCCCTGGACCCGCTGCACGCCCTGCTGAACTGTAAATACAAAACAAAAACAATGATAATATATATATATGCAAAAATTTTATATTTTGTCCTAAAAATAAAACATTATGAGAAGAAAAAACTGTAAGCTGACGTAAATTTGTAATGAAGAATAAAACGAATTAACAGCAGTAAAGGCTTATTTTAAGCAAAATTCTAATCTCTCTGAAATGCTATTATGTATCTTATGCTCCTAGCTAACTGCTAAACTTTTAATTTAATTACTTATTAACCAACCCTTTTTATCATGGCTCAATATGCTGTTTTCGTATTAATTATATCCTGGTTTATTTTGAAACTTTAATAATGTAAATGAAAAGACATACAACAGTAAAAGCGTTTGTAATAACGACGTTTCACTCAGGGAAAACCTTCACATTATGTAAGTTCGAAAAGTTTCCTTTGAACGGACAATGTGATAATACAACTTAGGCTATTTCGTGTGTGTTTTTAGGGACTTGTATCCTCGCTCCCTCCACCTGAAATGCAACTACAAAATTTCGTAATGCAGTAATTTATGACAATAAAACGTGATTCATCATTACACCAAATTCTTTTAAACATTTGTAATACTTGCCGCAATGAAACCTAAACCGCAGAAAATACTAACAGCAGCCATCAAGCTCTGCAAAATCAAACTGATAACCACAAAAAATACACATAATATAAAACAATTATAAAAGAAATCATCGAGCAAATGCCACAGTCTTAAATCAAAAGGAATCGAAATCAAACACGTAACTGTATGTATCTGCAACATACCAACAGCAACAGAGTAATTGGCTTTGCAATAAATTCAACTCACTGTGATAGCAAGAGTGGCAGTATAAGGTCATCTAGACGCTCCAAACATGAATTAAAGTTAGAACTCTGCCATCTCCGACTGTTTCTCTTTTCTTACACTTTGTCTAAGGAAGTTATTTTGAGCTCTACGTTCCTCTCTTCTTACTCTATTCTGTAATGCAACCAGGTGACCGATTTAAAACTATTACAAGTAATAATACGAATAAATACATCAGACTATCCACCTTCACATTAAGTGCATAAACTCAATAGAGGTGAGGTGTCCAGGAACTTCATGTGTGGGTTATGTGGGTCGCCTCTACACCCACCATGAAGTGACAGCCTGAGAGTGGTAGCCAGATACTCCCCACTCAACACACTTGAATATGTAACTTTTTTTTCTACTTGCAATTTGCATTGGTCAATTTCTATATTTTTTCATTCATTCTCACAACCCCTTAATAGGCAACTGATTAAACAGTATTCATTAAGCCACAAATTCGAGACTTGCAAGAATTTTTTGATTGCAGCAGACGATTACAAACCATATCCCGTTAAGCCAGTTTCTGGCTTGACTTCTAAGTCAAGCCAGGGAGCTGATGTTAACCAGTCGCACTCTGCTGCATATCTCCATTTTCATCGTAGACGGGTTTTCGAGTTACTGTCTTGTTTTCTTTATATGTGCGACTAACAGTGAAACCGGCATGTTATTAGCTTTACATTTATTGAACATCAAACAGCCTTAACGTAAACACTGCAGGCATACAAAATTACACATTTTTCCGTGTCAACTTTAATAGTTCTTGCTACAAAATCCTTCATACCCCACCACTGCCCTTTTTCCATCCGCCTCCTCAACACTTACCCTTTAACAATCCTTACTCTTTAACCCCTGCTCTCTTCCCTCTCCCCCGCCCTCTTTCCACTCTCTTCCTCAAGGCCTACAACATCCCCATCCCTCATCCACAGCCCCATCCCCGTTCCCCGCCTCTCCTCCCTACACACAGGACGCTTTAGAAGCAAAACAAGTTTCGTCGTGCTTGGTTCACATCACCATCACTTGGTCTTTGTTTTTCTCTTTCCCAAATACATGGAACTGTTGACACGCACGACCTGGTTACACCGCTTACTGATTTGCCTGCAATGGCTACAGTTTGCGGCTTTTAACGTTCTCAGAGACTTTCCACGCTCATTGGCCGTCTATATTTAAGATGTGATTTTTTTACTATTTTGCAAACTAATCGAGTAGTAGAGCAACAACTTTCTTCCTAGGCAAGGGATGCCTTTTAATGAAACACCTAAATACCTGCCGAAGGTATTGTCGTTTCTTATACACAAGATCGATTTTTTTTTTACACGAGATATGAAATTCCAGCAGGACCGGCGCTTTCCAACAGATTTTTTCCTAGATGCGACCCCTAAACAGTCAGATAACACAATTATTTATTTTTAGTGCTAAGAGGTATGAATCAAGGGAAAGGGTGAGTTGGGAATCCCGGGGCTGGCCATTCGGCGACAAAAATAGTTCAGTTCGCGTGAGATGAACATTCCAACCACATGGTGACCAGAGAACCAAGGCATTAAACCTCAGGCCTCTTAAACCTAGGATCTCCAGTGTTCTTGTTTTGTATGTAAGATAGAGTCTAGCTGGTTGTGAACTTTGGTGACTACCAGCTTCTGATGTCTTTGTGGTAAATAGTTTATTGCTTTATAATGGTTTCAGCTATTTTTTGGCACCGGCGATCTGGAATTCCTTTGATAGATTTAATAGGTCTAGGGAGTAAGTGTGTGGGCATGGCGCTGACTACTCAACTTGTATTCCGATTAAGGCAGCCAGCTGCATATAAATTGCCACGCGTCCATTTTTGCTGAATAAACTTACAGTAATTTTTTTATATTTCTTAATTTAGCTTAGGATGGATTAGGTTTAGTTAAGTTAACGTATATATTTCCTTATAACTGACCAACAAGAACTAAATTTAACGACTAGTGACTCATGTATGGCAGGGCAGGGTATAAATAAAAATTTCGTCCATGCATTTTCACAGACACTATAACAAATGTGCAAGAGGGGTTGTTTAACTGCTTCTCTGGTGACTTTTATTGTCCTAGATGGCTGTGTTAACTCCTGACCACTCTCAGTGCAACTGATAATCTTTAAAAACTTCACTTATCTGATTTACAGAACAGCATATATCTGCATCCAGTTACATTCACTGGATACCTGCCACATGCACTAGCGTGGAACCATTCTAAAACAAATAAACAGAAGACGAAACTGTCCGATTCGGTCCGTTAGAGCGGGACAGCAACTCCCTGACAACAACCAGACCTTCCTTCAGGTCAGCGGGAAGGTGGTGACTTGAAGTGAGGGTGTCGTTGATGAAGAATCCATTGAACCTGGTAACTGATGAAAAGTAGGGTTGTTGGTGGAGCTTAATCCTCTCCCTCTAATTCAAGAGGGAGATTGGAATGTGCCATTGTTATTACTACATTAATGGTTCAATTCACTGAATCAAGAGCCCCTCGCCGGCATCAGGGAACTTCCCGTGAGAAAAGGGAAGGCAAAGGCGGAGGGAGAATGTGTGCCAGGAACGTCTTGGCTCAAACTTCAATGATCGGGACCCAACTGCCACAGGGCCTTCATCTCCAATACAACACTTCCGAGACAATGACAAGCTATTCAACCAGTTCATTATCGACTTGCAATTTACAAAAAGGTACATTCCATATTATTTATTAAGAACAGGCACTTTCCTGATGCCTTCCAGACACATTCCAAATTATATATAAAGCTCAATAATTATCAACTTCGCATCTTCGATATATGACGCAGTTATAAAACCAGTGTCTGGGTAAGAGACATGTCAAATGTCTACCTTAAAATAATTTTCTTCCGTTGTTGAGCACCCAGACTTAGCCAGAGCACTTTATAATCCGATTATCAACTAGCGGAGCTCTGCATGTAAGTGCGTGTACTCTTAGAGACAACAACGCGGAGATTCAGTTTCATTATGGACGACAGCTTGAAGATATAATTCTTATGATGAACGGCAACCTAGAGATCCCAGTCTCTAAACAATGGTAGAAAGGAAATTCAGTTCTCGTATAGCACTAATATCTAATTATCTTATAGATAACAATACGTAGACCCAATTCTCCTAAAGAAAACGACAGTACCAACACGGAAATCCAATTCTCTTATAGATGAAAACACCAGGATTAAGTTCTCTTACAGATAACGACAGCATTGCTATCCAGTTCTCATATGGACAGCAACAACACAGAGATCTAATTCTCATATAGATAATTCCAGAAGGCCATATGGAGATGAAAATAAGGTGTAGTTTTCAGTTGATGTATTGCTACAGATATAGGAGGCTAGGGAATTCTACTGGTGCTAGTGTGGAGGCACACGTGTAGAAGGTAGTGCCAATGCCAGGTTTAAATTTATTTTACAGCCTCCGTGCGACCACAGGCCTCACTTCCCCTCACACACAGTACACACCAAAGATGTAGCTACAGAATTCAGCTTTTAGGGAAAGATCATTAACACTATTCAGATACAAAATCACAACTTATATTCAACAGCTGGGTTTCAACCACACAAGTTGATCGATAATACAACCAGTCAAATACAGTTTACGCATGAAGCTCGAGTGGTGTCAGGATTTCTATATTAAAGTGGGTTGAGTAACAGTTGTGGGTACCTAAATATAAAGTCTTTAGTGAAGTTGGTATAGGCGTAGACTTGCAACTGTAAGGTCGACGATTCGGTCTAAAGCACATCTTATATAAAATTTTAATACTTACGTTATAATGATCAAAACAAACTTTCAGTACACTGATAGCTTAATGAATATTAGGTTCATATACCCCAAGATAATTGCGCCTCAGCTTTCAATGTTAACTACCTGTGTAAACTCTGGTCTTCATCCTTCATAAGAAGAAAACATCGCAGATACTGTACTTGTGATTGTCTTCGTTGCCTAGTATGTTTTCATTTGAAGTGAAATCCTGTAATGACATTTAAAACAATGTACTTAAGTTTACTTTACTGTATTTTCAATGTACCTTCTATGTCTCAACAATGTCGCTAGACGAATGATGAAAAAAAAATCCGTAAATTATTTTTTAGACCTCTTTATCTTAGGACATTTTATATTTTGCCTAAATGTATTTTGTAGGTACGGACAACATACAGCCAC